GCCAGAGGGAGAAGGAGAGACAGAATCCCATGCAGGCTCCAACACACAGGCCAATCCCACGACCCCAAGACTAGGAACTAAGCTGAAATCAAGTGTTGAATGCTTAACCGACTGAGCCGCCCAGGCGCCCCTGAACTGTCATTTTAAAATGTGTATCAGATATTGTTTAAAATTCTTTAAAAATTTCCTCTTGCACTTAGAAGAAACTCTACCATAGCCTACGAGTGGTTGGTCTTTCTCCAGCTCTTCAAATATCTCTCTTTAGTCCTGCTCTTCTTTAAAACATGTCAAGACTTTTTCCACTTGATTGTCTTTTGCCAGGAAGGACCCTTTCACTTGACTTTCTTTTGGCTGGAATGTTCTCCCTCCCATTCTGCTCATGACTGGCTTCTCAATAGTTAGGTCTCAGCTGAAAAATACCATAGCCGAGGGACCTTCTCTGACTAATTTACCTAATAGAGTCCTGTTTCCATTCCCACCCCAGTCAGCTCTTATAGTGTTGTTAGTGCATTTATTTCTTTATAGCATTCAGCACAATCTGAAATTAATTTAATTAATGATTTACTTACTTTAGACTTGTCCCTTCGATGAGGTTGTAAGGATCTAGAAAGCAGGGTCTTTGCTTTCGCCATGTAGGTATTCTTATCAACTATCACAGTGTGTGGCACCAATTCAGGACAAAATAAATATTTGCTGAATAAGTGAATGAGTGAAATGAAGAATTTGGGTATGACTGGAGCACTGGGCCTAATGTGTATTTTCTTGAACAGGAAGGTGGTAAATTATAAAACATCTAGAAGTTCTTCTAGGAGTGCATGGGTGGCTCCGTCGGTTAAGTATCTGACTCTTGATTTTGGCTCAGGTCATGATCAGGGTCATGGGATCCAACCCTGCATCTGGCTCCCTGCTCAGCATGGAGTCGTTTGTCCCTCTCCCTCCACTCCCCTCCCCCTACCCCCCAGTGCTCGAGCTCTCTCTCTCTTTCTCAAATAAATAAATAAAATCTTAAAAAAGAAAGAGACGTTCTTCTAGAACCTTTCTGGGAAGAGTTTGCATAATGGCAGAGATGAGGAAGTTCTGCTAGAAAGTGAGTTGAGGCCAAATCCTGGAGGCTGTGAATGTCTTAGTACATAATTTCTGGAATCTCTTTTGTGGCCAACGGATAGCTACTGGAGGTTTCTAAATAGTCAATGTGTCCTTTTGAAATGCTTTTCAATGAAGTGGTGGGTAGATCCTTCCTTCGCTGAAAACTAGTACTTACAAGGCCTTATAATAATCTCCATCCCAAAATATGGCATTATATGCAGCATACACATGTTCACCTGGACTTTTCCTATCACTTCAGATGTGTCTATCTGATTTCTAAAATAGAGTACAAAGATATCAAGATCGCAGTTAAAAAAAATGGCTTGTTTTATCAACTTTGGCAGCCAATTCTAGTTTCCTAAACTGGCTCACAGTGATTTAAAAGCCATGACCAGTTCATGAATAAGTTTTATGGTTTAAGTCATGGAATCTTTTTATTATTTATATTGGGGAAGATGATAGGATGCTCAATACTGGGTTATAAATGGAGAAAACAAAAAAAAAATAAATGGGGAAAACATCAAATATGCAAAAAAACAAAAAACAAAAACAAAAACCCAACAACTGTGGTAAAATTTAAGAAAAGGAACCTTGTCAACTCGTCAGTGGGGGTTGACAGTTTTCAAGAGTTATTGAAACATAGTCTTCGTTGATAATCAGTATTGGAAGATCTCTGTGAATGGTGACTTTGGAGATGTTGTTAGTAAACTGACTATCCTTTAAGTCCACTAGAGCTTATGAAGCACACTCACATGTAATACACTTTTTGATTTGTGTGCAAAAGATTTACTTGTTAGAAGTTCTTTTTTCCGGGGCGCCTGGGTGGCTCAGTCGTTAAGCGTCTGCCTTCGGCTCAGGTCATGATCTCCAGGTCCTGGGATCGAGCTCCTCATCAGGCTCCCTGCTCAGTGGGGAGTCTGCTTCTCCCTCTCCCTCCACCTCTCCCCACTGCTCCTACTCTCTCTCTCTCTGTATCTCTCTGTCTCAAATGAATAAATAAAAAATTCTTTTAAAAAAAGTTCTTTTTTTCCTCTTTTTTCAGACATATCATAGACATCATCTATATGTAAAGTAGGTGGAAAACAAAGAGACAAAAAGAAGTCATCTGGTCCCTATTCTCATAGAGCTCTCCTAGAAAAAACAAATATACTCAGGGAAGTACAATGCACAGCAGAGTATGATAAGTGCTCATAGAGGAGTAGGGATACGATGGTATTGCTGTACTTGAATGTTGCTATCATGCTGAGAAAGGATCTCTTAGAGTAGCAGCATTTAGGCTTGGCTTTATGGGATATGTTAGGTTTCAACAAGAAAAGACCAAAGGACAGAGGCTCTCTCGATCAGTGGAACAGCCTGAGCAAAAGATGAAGGTAAGAAAGTGAAAAACATAAATATGTTCTATCAATTTTAATGGCTTGTGCTATAGAACCAGAGTGTATCAGTGCTAATCAGTTTTGTTCAAAATTTATAGTTCTACTCTTAACTAAAGACAGTTTCCACCAACCACAAAGACCTTACTATGTCCTCATAAATTATGTGTCCAGGGGAGTTATAGATTATACCATCATCATTTTTATCCTTTTTTTTTTAAATTAGTTTCAGAGGTAGAATTTGTGATTCATCAATTGCATATAACACTCAGCGCTCATTACATCAAGTGCCCTCTTTAATACTCATCACCAAGTTACCCCATCCCCCACCCACTTCTCCTCCAGCAACCCTCAGTTTTTTCCTAGAGTTCAGTGTCTCTTGTGGTTTGCCTCCCTCTCAATTTTCATCTTACTTTATTTTTTCTTTCCCTTCCCCTATGTTCATCTGTTTTGTTTCTTAAATTCCACATGAGTGAAATCATATGGTATTTGGCTTTCTCTGACTGACTTATTTCACTTACATAATACCCTCTAGTTCCATCCACATCATTGTAAATGGCAAGATTTCATTCCTTTTGATGGCTGAGTAATATTCCATTGTGTATGTGTATATACACCACATCTTCATTATCCATTCATCTTATACTATCGTTATTTACATCTTTGAAATGGATAGATCATTTATAAATTGTATTCTTTTGTATTCCATTGTCTATTTTTTAAGGATTTTAGTGATTTCTGAAGCACAGTTGTATATTTTACCTAATTAAATCCTTCTGAAATCCTATGCAGTAGATGGTAGTATGGGGTTTTTATGAACATTTTTTTTCTTAAAGGAGAACTGAGCCATAAATGTTTAAATGACTTTTTTCAGATTTACTTGATCATTAAGTGTAGACACACACCTAGTTTAGAACCTATTGTTTTTCTTCTATACCTATATACTCATCACTGTGTAGATGTCCATACAATTCATATTTAGTGAGTGAGAAGTTGAGAAAATATAAATTAAGAAAGAAACCACATCCAAAATTAGTGATTTTGCCAGCCATAATCATTCTGGGAGCACAGAATTGAGGACCTAGGTAAAAATGGCAGGGAAAGCTGACAAGGCAAGATTTAATGGAAGGAAGACCAGTAGCTAAGCGTATGCAAATTCAAGGGGAAAAGGAAAGGTTTTACTATTATTAGAGAAAGTTAAGGATCTCAGGTCTTAAAATAGAGCAGTTTTTGTTTTCTGTGGTGAGGGCTAAGATTATGTATATACCACCAAATAGCGGTAACTGGGGACTTGGGAACTCCGTACTTCTATTTCTTACTAATAACCTGAGTGGCGAGACTGTCAAAAACAGACTCTGTTGAATCTGATATGCTGTTCCATGATTTTATGTTTACTTTTTAATAACGATGGGTTTTCATGTCTTCATACTCCAAAATAGATCAAACGTAATTTGGATTTTACCATGAAAAAGATTATTAATATGAATATTCACTTTTCTGATATGGGGCAAACAGATCTGTCTATAAACATTCTCTATGTCTAAAGCACAGAGCACAATGTCTTAAATCTAATAAATTTAATTCTGTTTTGTTAAAAAATGCATCATTGCATTACACAGAGAACAGTGTATTGTGTGGTTTAGGAAAAGATTTTGTAGGGTCTATGTAGTGGTTATTAAAAATTCTTCCTTTTGTATTAATGAGCATCAATGTTGTACGTCTGGAATCAAACATTTCAATCAAAGGAGTGTGGTAAAGCATTTTATGCACTGTATTCAGCACCACATTTATCAGGCTTTAGACTGTGAAGAATACAAAAAATTTAATTCTATTTTATTTTAAAAAATGCATCATTGCATTACACGGAGAACAGTGTATTGTGTGGTTTAGGAGAAGATTTTGTAGTGTCTATGTAGTGGTTATTAAAAATTCTTCCTTTTGTATTAATGAGCATCAACGTTGTAAGTCTGGAATCAAACATTTCAATCAAAGGAGTGTGGTGAAGCATTTTGTGTGTCGTATTCAGCATTTCTTATGCATTGGAACAGTTTACTCCTTTTAGTTTTGTATTCTTCACATTCTAAAACCTTATAAATGTGATGGAGTGGGAGGTAGGCTCATTCCTGTCCTGTGGAAAGGCATAGGTTTGTTTATACTGCCATTGTCAGGATCAAAGGCAAAAGAAACAAAGAGAAAAGAGAAAATAAAAGAAATGTCAAAAATATGAATTAGAGGTGGCACAGCTTTGGCAGCTTTATATTTTGATCAATCATGAAACAAACAGAAGCAGAAAGATTTAATTTCCCCGAAATGTAGATGGCTCAAAAAAAAGAATAGAGCACATGTAGCTATTTTCACCAAAACCTGAATATCCACATATCATTTTAGGAGCCCTGTTTATTAACCTCCCACTTTAGAGTATAGAGATTGCGCATAGTGAATGGAAGCTGGAAGCTGGCCCTGCCACTATAACCATCAGCCCTTGGACTAGTTCCGAGGCAGGGTAGAAATGTGTGCCTTCATTTGGTCTTTTTTTCTCCCTAGCTTAACCAGCTGGAAAAGGCAGTGGAAGCAGCCCACACGTTTTTCATGGCCAACCCCGAGCACATGGAAATGCAGCAGAACATCGAGAATTACAGAACGATGGCTGGTGTTGAAGCACTCCACTTGGTAGATCTAGAAGCCAAACCGCATCTGGTGAGCGCTGGGGACCCTTCCTTGCCCTAACCGGAAGGAGCTAGGTGTTTCTAAGTTCACTGGACTCAAAGCAGATTCCTGGGAATGGGTGTCTTAGGTTGATTCTTGATTTCTAATACAGGAACAGTTGTATGCTTTCAGAGTTCTCAGATGAAATATTGTCAATATCAGGGTTGAAAAAATTGAGAGAAGGTGAAAATACCCTTAGAAAAGCAGTATGAGGGCGCCTGGGTGGCTCAGTCGGTTAAGCGTCTGCCTTCGGCTCAGGTCATGATCCCAGGGTCCTGGGATCGAGTCCCCCATCGGGCTCCCAGCTCAGTGGGGAGCCTGCTTCTCCCTCTGCCTCTGAATCTCTCTCTCTCTCTGACTTTCATGAATAAATAAATAAAACATTAAAAAAAAAAAAAGAAAAGCAGTATGATATGGTGAAAAGGAGAACATGATATAAACATGTCACCCCCTCCAAACTTCAACGCTACCTCCAACCCTTTAATTTTTACACATGGGAGTTGAAGCCAATATGAATTGCTCAGGGCACACTGTGGTTTCACAAATCCCAGTCCATCGTTTTTCCATTGGACCCGTACTTTCCAAATTCTGTTATTTTAAACCTACATAATTTTTCACTTAAATGAAAGCTTACTTGAAATCACAGTAAGTTGGAAGGGCTTTTTTTTTTTTTTTTTCCAATTGGAGATGTCCCCATTCTCGACATGTGACTTCCAAGATGATTGAAGAACAGGATAAGAGAAGATTTTCAATAAAGCCTTATTATTATTATTATTATTATTATTATTATTATTATTATTATTATTATTATTATTATTAAAGTGGGCCAGGACTGGAAAATGAATGTGTCATGGCCACCCACATCAATCTACCTGGGCTTTGTCGCATGCCCATACCTATATTCAGATGGGGTTAGCAAATATTGTCTTGCGTGTTTGTGTTCAGGAAGAATATGAAATTGAGTGGTGCCACAGCTTTCAGCTTGCTTGGTAACTCTGTTCTTATTTATAATTCCCTGAAGCTAGGGAAGTTACTTTTTATCTCCCAGTAAAACCCTTCATTATTCTTCTACAACACAAGAGCCCAGGGCCCCCCTGCCCAAATGATCCTGAGTCTGCCTGAATCCAGCTATTCACATGCCCCAGAGGTGCTCTTTGGAAAAAATAAATACATATGTGTATATATATATATTCTTTTTTTCTGCTTCTTTGCAGGAGAGTTACAGTGCAGGAGTTAAACATTATGAGGCTGATGACTTTGAGCTTGCTATCGAGTACTTTGAGCAAGCTCTCAGAGAATATTTCAGTGAAGATACGGAGTGCAGAGCCCTGTGTGAGGGGCCTCATAGATTTGAAGAGTATGAGTACTTAGGGTACAAAGCTGGTCTCTATGAAGCCATTGCAGGTAAAGCTGATTTTTTCCTTTATTTGTTTCCTGATTATAGGAAATGCAGTCTGTAAAACTATTCCAACAATACAGAAGTTTAAATTATAAAAACTGAAAGATATATACATAACCCATCCTATCTCCTGTAAATAAATCTACCTATTTTAAATTTTGGTGACTGTGCTTCTAAACTTTTTCAGATGCATATGTAAATGTTTCTGTATTTATTTATAGTTATTATTTGTTTTTTTATAAAAATGAGACAATACTGTGAATACTGATTTTGAGCATATTTTTATTTTTGTTTTATTTTATGCTTAACAATATAATGTGGACCACTTCTCATGTAAGTAATACATGTAGATCTACCTTATTGTATTAAATGGTTGTGTGATGTTCCAGTATATGGGGAAAGCATAATTAATTTGAGCAGTCCCCTTACTGATGAATATTAAGGAAGTTACAGGTTTTCATTATTATAAACAATGTAGTAATGAATACTTTTGTATAGTTTTCTTCAGTTACTTAAAAGAGGATTTTGTTATCTATGAGAATTTAATATATTACAGAGTGTCATTTAAAATAGTAGGTAATGTGAATTATACATTAATTGGAGAGATTAGCTACTTAACCATTTATGGTGGGAAGCATATGAAAAACATACAAAAATAAATTCTATTTATGTTAATAATATAGGTGTGAAAATAAAACTGTTAGAAGAAAATGCAAGAGGGGTGCCTGGGTGGCTCAGTTGGTAAAGGGTCTGACTGATGATTTTGGCTCAGATCATGATCTCAGCGGGGAGTAGGTTTGAGGATTCTCTCCCCCCCCGCCCCTCCCCCACCCTTGCATGCACTTGTGTTCGTGCTCTCTCTCTCACTCTCTCTTTAAAATGGAGATGAACCATGAGAGACTATGGACTCTGAGAAACAAACTGAGGGTTCTAGAGGGGAGGGTTCTGGTGATGGGTATTAAAGAAGGCACATACTGAATGGAGCACTGGGTGTTATACGCAAACAATGAATCATGGAACACTACATCAAAAACTAATGATGTAATGTATGGTGATTAACATAACATAATAAAAAAAAGAAAAAAAACAGTAAAAAAATAAAATAAGTGAATAAATCTTCTAAAAAAATGAAGAAGAAAATGCAAGAAAATATGTGTATAATGGGAGGAGAGGAAAACCAGTTCTTAGCATGACAAAAGACAAGAAATATGAGGAAAAAGATAGACTTTACATAAGATTTAAAATACAAAAAATACAATAAATCAATCCAGATTACAAATGACAAGTGGAAAAGTTGCAAAACATTTACAGGCAAAGAGTTAATATCCATAATATTTAAGCAGAACTTGTAAATTATTATTAGTAGTAATTTATTTCTGATTTATTGGTAGTCATAATAATAAGCAACATTTATATAGCAGTTTTAATATACAAAACATTTTACATATTTATATATCTTTTAATCCTCTAAACAACTTCTGGTAGGTAGATGGTATTGTTATCCACTGTCTTCTTTTTTTTAAATGAAGAATTTATACCTCAGAGCAATGTGATTAAGGTGAAGCTAGGAATCAAATCGATGCTTTTCTTAGTCTAGGGTGCATATTTTAAAGTCTACATAATTGAAAAATGGGCTAAGGATAACCTATTCAGTAATAAATGTTTAACAAATATCTGTTGAGTGCATATTGAGTTTTAAGTTATAAATATAAAACAAAAACAAAAACAAAAACAAAAAACAATGTTCAACTTCACCCATAGGTGTAGAATGGCAAATTAAGGAAGTGAGTTTGCTCTCCCCAAATGCCAGTGTTTTCGGTCTCCATGAAAAGCACCCCTCACTTAGCAGTTCAAACCAAGTCCTAAAAAATTATCTTCCAATCCAACATTTCCCTTAATTCCTATTCTTCTTTGATTTGTTACCAAATGCTGATAGGTGCTCCTTACCTGAGCATGTAAGATTCCCTGGTTCTCTCCATCCTTTTTGCTAGCACCCTGGTTCAAATCCACAGTATATTTTAACAAAGCCACTGTGATAGTCTCCTAGCTGGTCCTCCAGTGCTGATGAGGTTTTACTCTGTAGGCAGACAAAATGGTCTAAAAAAAAAAAAGATAGTATGTTCACAGAACACCCCCACCCCTCGCCAAAGGCTTCCATTGCACTTGGAATAAAACCCAAGACCTTTAATAAAGACTTTCATGATTGTGCACTTGTATATATTTTCATTCCCTCTCTATTCTTTTCCAGCAACCAACATGCTCTGGTGACCTCGAGCAAATCACTAAATGACATTTGATGAACAGTGCTCACAAAAATGCAGGGAAATGACTCTGCCAGAGGTCTAGCAAAACAAAACCTTTGGCGAAAAAGTCCTCAATAATTCAGATATTGGTATTGATTTTAGGTGAAGTAAGTTGGTTTTGGGTAATTGAGTATGTGGCAACATGGATGACAACTAGGTCATCCAACAAATTGATTTTCAATCTACTTCTTAATCTAAATTTTGAAAGATGTTTTCTAATTGTCCCCCTCAAAGACCTTAACAATTTATGACCCATATTTTTAAAACATGGAGTATTATTAATCCTTTTCATCTGAAATGTGATTGATGGATACCAATGTCAGTTTTATGCGTGTTTCACTTATCAGCTGTTAAGTATTTCTTTATACTTAATCTTTTATTTGGGAATGCTTTTCCTTTATTATAGTTTATTATCTTGTAGTTGTGTAAGGATATGTGCCCTGTCTCTACCCACTCCATCTCCTCTACACCTGCTTCTACCAATGGCTACCAAACAGCTTTGGCAAGTGTCCTACATCTGATTTAGGAAAACTGACAGATTCCCCCAGAATAATATTTAGCAATTTGCTCGAGGTCACCAGAGTGTGTTGGTTGCTGGAAAAGAATAGAGATCTCCTAACTAAGGATCTTAATACTTAATACAACTATCACAATATCCCCACTTCCAATAAAGAAAAGTGATTTAAAAAAAGTCATGGCTCCTGAAGCTCAATCAAATATTATATATTACAGAAATATGGCAAGTCTTCTTGAGAATTTGACAGATACCCAATTTATTATGAGAAGGAAATTTTAAAAAGTATTCCCACACAAGTGTCTTGGATCTCAAACTTATTAAATCACAGTAATTGCTCAATAACATTTGATATAGAAAGGAGACAAGAAATACAACTTATAAAATGTGTTATCAAAACTCTGTAAATGCTTGTCTCGTTCAAAACTGTTCTAAGGGGCGTCTAGCCAGCTCAGTCAGTTAAGCATCTGCCATTCAGCTCAGGTCATGATCCCAGGGTCCTGGGATCGAGCCCCATGTCTGGCTCCTTGCTCAGTAGGGATCCTGCTTCTCCTTCTCCCTCTGGTCCTCCCCCTGTTTGTGCTCTCTCTCTGTCAAATAAATAAATAAAATATTTAAAAAAAAAAACCCATAAAACTGTTCTAAATTAAAAGTGAAACTGGCTTTGGGGCTCCTGGGTGGCTCAGTCGGTTAAGCATCTGCCTTCGGCTCAGGTCATGATCCCGGGGTCCTGGGATCGAGTCCCGCATCAGGCTCATTGCTCAGTGGGGAACCTGCTTCTCCCTCTGCCTGCCGCTCCCCCTGTGTGTATGCTCTCTCTCTCTCTCCCTCTCTCTGTCTATAACAAATAAATAAATAAAATTTTTAAAAATTAATGAAAAAATAAAATATGGAATGTATTTAGGAAGCCGGAATATTTGAATTTTAGAGTTTGGACGAACATTAAAAATACAAATGGCTTTTCAATGCAGTTATTTATTACCGGCTGTGCTCGTTGAAGCCCTGAAGAATATCATTTTGTGACTCTCATTTTGTTGCTCTTTGTTTATCTTGTGTTGAAAAATACCTTCATTCAGATTTTGGGTTCTTATTGTGTGTGTTTTCCACCTCTTCCTTTTGCTTGTCATTTGGAGTTAGGAGGAGCATGTGTTAGAAGGTAAAGAGGAATGCCAATGGCCAGCTAAGTAGGAGAAAACAGTTGAAGGTTGTTGGTCGTTTTCATAAGAAATAAAACAGCTATTTATTGGCTATTTATATAGCTACATGCTAAACAAATAAACAGAACTCTTTCTTCCCCTCCCATCTTCCACCTGCAGTTAAGAACCAATGGATTGTAAGGATTCTGTTAGCTGTGCTGCATTGGGTTGAGTTAGCCAAGTCATGCAAAAACTGGCCCATTTGCCTACACACCAGAAAACACACATGCCCTTTCTGTTGTGCTCTTGGGTCCCTCTTCAAGTCATCAAGAGGCAAGCCAAACTCTGCTTAACAGAGAACCTTTGAGAGGAGGCAGTTGTGGTAAATTAGGGTGTAAAGTCATTAAGTCATTTATCATCATTCTTAAGAAAGCCTGCTCTGCACAAGCATGAATAAAATCTTCTCTTTCTGGAGAAGACTATCTCCATCTTCCTTGTAAAAATCAAAGTTGGAGCAAAATGTAGGATGTGTTTGCTTCTCTGGGACAGTAGCTACTTTAGTTTCCTCAGCTCGTTCGTGGATGAGCGAGAGCCGAGAGCTAAAGGGAGCGTGATAGCCCTACACTTGAGAATCCTCACCTGTTTACAGTGAGAAGGATGGGGACAAAGAAAAGGGAACAAAGAGAAAGGCAGGATGTGTATCTAAATTCTTGGGCTTCACTCCATATCCTATTTTAGTCCTACAGTATTAGGATTTCCAATGTTCAGGGGATGGACTATTTTGTAATTGGGTAGAATAGGTTCCTGATAAATAGATGTTAAAATATATAGTTTCTATTTCCCCTTTAGGAAAAGTTCTTGAAAATATTAACAAGGAGAAAAAGCTCCCCATATGCATGGCAGTCCTTTCTCTCAGCTGCTCCTTAGCATAACTGGGATCTGAACTTCTGATCCTGATCCAGGTCACTTAAAGCCACCCAACGTATCTAAAGGGAGGCCCCGGAATTCTTCAATAGGAAAGGCATCTATTCAGATGGGCATGGGTGGGCTGAGATGGACTGTGTCATTTTCAGGAAATGTAGAAAAAGGGGAACAGCAGCCAAAAGTGCTGCCTGGAGGAAAGCCCAGGGGCCACAAGGTTTGGAATCTGCTATTCAGTATTCTAGCGATCACTGGTCAGGAAGCCTTGGCAAGTCACTTACTTCCTTTGTGAAGGTTTCTGCTCATGAAGTGAAGATAATGAGATGGTGCTAAGAGTGTGGCGAGGTGAGGAATGCCCTGTGTCACCGGGGCTCTGACCTTGAAGTCCGGACACTCCAGCAGACGGGAGGGACACACCTCTCACTCTTGTCTTCCAGATCACTATATGCAGGTGCTGGTCTGTCAGCACGAATGTGTGAGGGAGCTTGCAACTCGCCCTGGCCGCCTCTCTCCGATTGAGAACTTTCTTCCCCTGCATTATGACTACCTACAGTTTGCCTACTATCGAGGTAAAGTGTGGATCGTCCCGGAAGACCTTTGGGGAAGGGGTGTCGTTCATCATTACAGACATTGAAGTTTCCTTTGCATTTCCACTTTACCACTGAGGCAATGGGGGTTTAGGGTTTTGTTTTTTTTTTTTTCTCTCATTTCATATCACTGAAACTCAGGCCAAGGAGAGCAGGTGGAAACCACAAGTGGGCAAATGCTGTGATAATGTCCTGAAGGTTTTATTAGACTGACATTTTACATGATTTTTCAACTTAATTTTAAAAGGTCATATATTTACAAGTTCAAAGACCAAATATCATAAAAGCCTCCCTCTCTTGCTTTTTTCTGCAGCCCAATTTCATGCCCTACAGCCCAGTTCCGATTTATATTTCTTTAAAACACACACACACACCCCAACTTATTTCACCTTCTTATACAGAGAAGGTAGCATATTATTTACACTGTTCTTTACATTGCTTTCTTCACTTAATAATATATATGAGTGGGGAAGGGGCACCTGGGTGGCGCAGTTGGTTAAACATCCGGTTCTTGATTTCCGCTCAGGTCATGATCTCAGGGTCGTGAGAGATCGAGCTCCACATTGGGTTCCATGCTGGGCATTGAGCCTGCTTAAGATTCTCTCTAATAATAATAATAATTAATAATAATAATAATAATAATAATACATCCGGGGTGTCTGGCTGGCTCAGTTGGTAGAGCTTCTTCTCTTGATCACAGAGTTGTGGGTTCTAGCCCCATGTTGGGTGTAGAGATTACTTAAAAATAAAAGTTTGAAAAATATTTTTTTAGTAGGTTGGACCTATGAAATGACCATTTGCTTAGGTCAGTAAAGGCCAAATTTTGGCAATTTTGTATGGTGTAATTAACCTAATTGTATTGGTACATGGAGATCTTCCTCATTAATTTTTCTTTACATCCACATATCATTGTACTATAATTCACTTTAAGTGTTTCCTTACTCATGGGCATAGTGTTGTTAGTCACTGTTTGGTATTTCAATCAAGGATCAAATGAGTAATATTTTATGTAAGTTAGTTCACATCCACACATGAATATCTATAGGATGAATTTCTAGAAGTCAGATTGCTGTGTGGAATCATTTATTAATTTAAAATTTTAATAGAAGTTACCCAATTTTCTACCATGTATAGTACATTTTTCATTGCTCAACAGAATATATTGTGAAAATTTTAGATATTCCCCAATCCATTAGGTGAAAATTTTTACCTCAGTAGAGTTTTAATTTCTATTTATCTAATTGAGAAAGAGAGATTGAGCATCTTTCCTTATGCTTAAAAACAATTAATAGAATTGGGATTGCTGAAATCAGTTTTCGATATCATGTTGTCAAACTCAGTACAAAAACAGAATTAACTCCCAAAATTCTGCTCTGCTTATCTGTATTAAATAATGTAAGTTGTCAACAAACATCTTCAGGTGGAAACTTTTAATAATTGATGCAAAACATCTAGCACCAAAGCAGACCAAAGATAGTACATTTTAAACACCTGAAATCATGTTCCTTCCTTTTGTCTGTGGCTATTTTTTTGAAATATAATTAACACAGAGTGTTATATTAGTTTCAGGTGTACAACATAATGGTTCAACAATCCTGTACATCACTTAGGGCTCATCATGATAAGTGTAGTCACCATCTGTCACCAAACAACGTTATTACAATCTTACTGACTGTATTCCCTATGCTCTACTCTTCAGATCTGTGACTTATTTATCTTATAACAGGAAGTTTGTACTTCTAGATCCCCTTAATTTCCCCCATCTCCTCACACACCTCCCCTCTGGCAGCCATCAGTTTGTTCTCCGTATTTGAGAATCTGTTTTTATCTGTGACTATTTCTGCCTATGCTCTTTGGCTCACCTTAGCTTCCCTCTTACTCATGCTTAATGCTGACCTCCTACAGACATGTTGAAGCATTGCTTAAAAATCCTCTAGATGGGGGACGCCTGGGTTGCTCAGTCGGTTAAGCATCCACCTTTGGCTCAAGTCATGTTCCCAGGGTCCTGGGATCGAGCCCCACATCAGGCTCCCTGCTCATCAAGAAGCCTGCTTCTCCCTCTCCCTCTGCCTGCCGCTTCCCCTGCTTGTGCTCTCTCTCTCTCTCTCTCTCTCAAATAAATAAATAAATAAATCTTTAAAAAAAATCAATTAAAAAAAATCCCCTAGATGGACCTAGCCTGACTCTAATACTACAGCTCCTTGGTCTTTCAGTTGGTGAATATGTGAAAGCCTTGGAGTGTGCCAAGGCCTATCTTCTCCTCCATCCAGATGATGAGGATGTCCTAGACAACATGGATTACTATGAGAGTCTCCTGGATGATACCAGTGACCCAGCATCCATTGAGGCCAGAGAGGTGAGACCAAGGTCCTGAGAAGAAACTGCATTCTGCTAGATGCTCTGGGCAGAATTGGTAAAAATGTAGCACTGCTCTTAAAGTTACCTAGCCATTGAGTCAAGGTTCTAGAATGCAGTTCTTTTGTACTTAAATTATTAATGCCAGAAGCATATTTTTTTCCTACATGAGAGCTTGTGAAAATCTGTTGAGATGGAGACTTTTTTGCAGCAGTGAATATTTTTTAGCTCATTTGTCACTGTCTATTGAAAAATATTTCCACTTGAACATTTATCATATTTCTTAACTGTTATTTAAATATAGATTTTCATTCATTTTTTTCTTCTCTAGGATTTGGCAATGTTCGTGAAGCGTCATAAAATGGAATCAGAACTAATAAAATCAGCTGCAGAGGGTCTGGGATTTTCATACATGGAACCGGTAAGAGCAAAGATGGAAGAGGAAATGTACTTTAAAAGAATTCTGAATGGACTTCATATTTATGATTTTATTTCCCAGCTTGATTTATTTGAAGATTCTTTTTTTTTTGAAATTCCATTTGCCAATTTTATTTATTATTTTTTAAAACTTTTTAATTATGTTTAGTTAGCCAACATATAGTTTACTGAAGATTCTTATCTCCTGCCTTGTATTAACAAAACCCGGGGAGGTGGGCGTGGATATTTACTCAATATATGATAAACATTAAAAGACTTTAATATATCTCCGTATCACTGAGATCCAAAGTCAAAAGCAAATATATCTGGGGGGAAGAGAAGTGTTTTGTACCTGATGCATTTGCCTCAGGATTGTTTTATGTCTTAAATTCTGGATACAACATTTTGTATTTCTCTTACATGTTTTAAAAACTAAAAAGACTTCATACAAAACAAAATCAGTCTCAATTGTACTATTTATCATGCTGACTTTTCTCCACTTGTCTGTGTAGACTTTTAGTCGTTCTTCATATGAAGACACACCTTTTGCCCAACTAGTACTATGGTATAGATAGATTTCTATTGTGATTTTTATTTAAGGTATCATAAGCAATTTCTACCTTTTTACAGCTTTTAAAATGACTTTTAGCTAGATATATAGAATTGTTGTGCAATAAATAAATTAACTCTTTTCTTGACACTGAATATTTGATTTGTTTCTGATTTTTTCTACCATATTTAATGCATGAAGCATTTCCCTCTGTATTGAACTATGCCCTTTGAATAAATTACCAGGAATGGGATTATTCTGCCATCAAAGGATATTAGAAGTTCTAAAGTTCTTGAAATTGCTTTTCTAAGGCAGTTTTCGGATACCTTCAGTGAAGGTTCTAGAAATGCATAAAAGTACCAGTTGACAATAAACATCTCAGCAATGAGAAATAACATTAAAAAATCATTCCTATTTCTTATGTACAAAATGGTATATCATTGTTGTTTTAATTTGTATTCCTTTGATGACCAACAAAAATAAACTTTTCACATGTTGTCATTAATTACTTTTCCTGTGATTTGAATTATCTGGACCTGCCTTTTTTTTCATTTATCTGTTAGTTAACTATGTAAGTTCTTCATATATGTACATGTCATATGTTTATAAAAAGCACTACTTGTAATGTATCCTATTTGTAACATTTTTTTCATTTCTGTCTTAGCTATGTCATGTTTTTATTGGCATATTTTAAAAATTAGGATAATTTTTAAATATACTAATTCTCAATAACATTTCTAATGTGCTTATACCCAGCCCTACTTATTGTTTTTTTAATTGCATTCTCCCAGGAGACTTCAGAAAAAGTTACTTTATGATCCTACACAGATGATTAATCAAGCTGGACTTTTTTGTTTGTTTTATTCAAAAACATAAGGGAGTTGGACTGAATGATCTTTTAAGTGTCTTCCTGACACTAAATTCCAAATCACTTCTTGGACAAAAAATATAAATACTTAAGCTAATTCCATGCTATTTTTAAAAACCCATTTGTGCATCATTTCTTCTTTGCCAAAATCGCATTGGCTTTAGCTCTTCTTTTTATTAATTAAAAAAATATTGTATCTTGATACAGTATGCAAGTTTCCTAATGTTTTAGGTCTTTTGAGTGTTTTAAATGTATATTTTCTTTCTGTGCATTATGTTTTAGTGACAAAGCTACTGAGTTGTTTTTTTTTTTTTTTAATTTAAAACAGAATTATTGGATCCGATATGGAGGACGACAGGATGAGAATCGGTGAGTTCTTCATTTAGAATACAATCCGTTCCGTTTACTTTTAATGAGAAGAAATACTTAGAGTCATACCCACTATAAGGACCTTAGCTCTATGAGATAGATAAAAATACATAGTTAAATGAGTTCCACACTGGGAATTAGGAGCTCAGCCTTCTGGTCCCAGCTCTTCGTATATACTTCTGTGTGACCTTGAGTGCTTTGTCATCCTTTCCAATCTTACATTTTTCCTCCAAGTAAGGGGTTGGATCAGGTGATCTATGAAGGTGACACATTCTGTGGACTCTGTTTTTGATTAGAATAGAGCTTAGTTTTTTCTTGTTAATGCTGAATTCCCTTACTACATTTGAAAGCAGGAAGCTCAAAGAGTTTCACTGCAAGCTAAAATATCAGGTGTCATTAACTCAATCAGAAATGAAGAGACCTCATTTTTTAAAATGATAGAAGTAAAAAATCAATTTGCATGTTATGAGCAGTTCGAGGAATCATAGAATGTTGGAGTTACATGTTTGAGCTGACCTAGTCTAGGCTGTACATTTTCAAATTCAGAAATTGAGGTTCTGACAAGGCAAAGGACTCTTTTAGAGTGTCACCACAAGGGACTGGTGGATTCCTATTCAAAATCCTATGGTCTTTCACTAGGAATTAAGGCCTCAACCCCGGGTGGCCTAAATTTATTACAACAGATCCAAGAGTGGACATGCACAGTTGGATTTGTTCACTCTGTGTGCAATGAAAGGATATCATGCTGTGATTTGTATGTTTGCCAAGTTTGAAACTTGTGTCTTCTTTCTTGGAATAGTAAAGAACCACTACCCGAGGTCATGGGTTATTTCAGTTCAATCATTGTTTGGGATGCACTCTATGCTCAGGACAAAAATACAACACTGAGCATTATAAAGATGCACATGATAATTTTTTTCTGCTCTTTGGAGACTTAATTTCTAATCTCAAGGGGGTAAAGTTATGGATACAATTAACTGTAAAAAAGAGGTGCTAAGAAGACTACCTGAGTAAGGTGTCCTTTGTCTTTGAATATCCTCATTCAGTGGGAAATTCCATTTCAACTGTTTTTAATGGGCAGGGTCCCTTCAGGAGTGAACGTGGAAGGGGCAGAAGTTCATGGACTGTCAATGGGGAAAAAGTCATCACCCAAGATAGATCGAGACTTAAGAGAGGGTAAGTATCTGTGCACTTTTACTTAAAGGAGGGAAAAGAGGAGGTGGGAGTTGGCTACTTGTTATTTAAATTAAGGAAGAGCCCACTTTCTCTGGAAACTAAAGAACAAGATTAAGTAACTACGTTTCATAACGTTCTGAAAGCAAGGCTTAAAAACAATATCTCAGATTTGTATATCATCGCCTTTGGTTCCCAACAAAAGTACTTTCAAATTCGCTCCCTCATCTGTTTCCCACAAGAGTCCTGTGAACCAGGCAGGGACTGAATGATCAGTTGAGTACCTGAGGCTTGGAGAGGTCATGGGGCTTCTGTCACCTAGTGAGTGAGTGCTAGCTAGTGCAGAATAGATTGCACATCAGAGGAACTTGAAGAGACAGGTCACATGGATATTAGATGAGTTCATCTACGGTGCCTGAGGCACATATATCTGAGCAGGACTCTGAGGGATCAGTAGAATTTAAGTTGAATTGACAGAGGTGTGGAGGGACCCATTTTAGTGGTTAAAACAATGGAACAAAGGCACAGAGATGGAGAGAGCAGAACATGATATACTTATGTCAGATCAAAATTCACAGAAACGTATGTCGAATGTTGTCAAAAGTAGTTTCTAAATACAGCTAAACATTGTAATAATAAATTATTAGCAGTGGTGGTACTAACTCAGTAGTGATTCTTAACAATTATTATGGTATCTGTATATTTTATAATTCCTCAGGCAAATCTACACACACTCCATTTGAATACTGGAATGTGAGACAAGTGCCCCCACTTCATAGGCAAGAAAACTGAGGCTCACAGAGATATAGTGACATGTCCAGTGTCTCATAGCTCATAACGGGTAGAGCAGGCATTTGAACCCAGGCTTTTGAATCCAGATCCCATTTTCTCTTACTCACCTGGAGATGGAACATAAAAGTGTCTAGAGATCCAAAATGTATCCTTTATTGATTAAATAACGGCAAGATAAGAAGGTTTTAGAAACCTGCGTTGAGAAGGAGTACAGTACTCTTTTCCCCCACAAGAGAGTGTGTCAGCACATTCCTCCAGCTGATATGAAAACTTCTGGTTCTCTACAGCTCTCACATTTCCCAGCCCTTTCCTTCCTCAGCTTCCAAGTCAGTTTGAGGCAGTGAACAGGATAAAATGCTCATCTAATCTGACCTGGACCCCAGTTTGTAGTCACAAAGCCCAAGCTGTTTTACAAAGGCCAGAAAGTTTCATGGTCAGCCAGAGTTCGTGTTGCTTTTTTTTTTTTTTTTTTAAGATTTTATTTATTTATTTGACAGAGAGAGACACAGTGAGAAAAGGAGCACAAGCAGGGGAGAGTGGGAAGGGAGAAGCAGGCTCCCTGCCGAGCAGGGAGCCCGATGTGGGACTTGATCCCAGGACCCTGGGACCATGACCTGAGCCAAAGGCAGTTGCTTAATGACTGAGCCACCCAGGCACCCCTCGTGTTGCTTTTTAAGCTGAGAAATCACCCAGGAAGTACATGCCAATAAGCCAGCACTTTGCTGTAAAGGTTTGGGAAACTCCAGGATGGTTGCCAAGCATCAAAGCTTCTTTTTTTTTTTTTTTCCTGGCTCCCTGGGACTCTGATATACAGCAGCTGACTAAGAAGACTAATACGAAGAATAGAGTAGGAGACTATACAGTATGGGGAGAGGCCGTGATTGGCTGGGCTACCAAAGTTTATCATTTCTATAGAATTTGCTTAGTTAAATGGGTGACTTCATCTTAGGATTTTCTCTGGAAACCACTGGAAAGCCTTCTGTGGAGTCACTAGAGATCTGAATAGTTTCTAAATTAAAAACAGTGGTAGACAGAGGCCAAGTTCCCAACCAGAAAATACTTTCTTATCTTAGTCTGGCTGAAAGCAGATGTCAGGGAGGCAAGAAAGGATGCATGCTTCACAGAGTAGAATATATTTCAGCTTTTGTCCTCTTTCACAAAGGGATTGTCATCTACTCTGGTTACCTAACAGTAATTAGTAGTATTCACACTGGACGGCTCAGAAGCATTACGGGAGTGACCCAAGACCACGTCCCAGATGGACTCCAATCCACGGAATAAGCATATCATCAAACTAAAAACACCCATCACTTATCCATTCTCTTTTCAACCGCCAGTTTCCAAAGGTCCTGCTCCATAATCATCCCAGTCAGTATAGTAGAAATCACATTGAACTTGGAGTCAGGACTCTGAGTTTCCAGGATTGGTTAGTCTGATGTACTTGGCGTGATGGACACCTAGAGACTTGAGGTCTCTGGGCTCTGTGAGCCTCAGCTGTAAAAGAAGGACAGCGACCTTTTGCTGAGGAACAGTGTGAAAAGTCTTCTGTAGACTCTTATGGGCTGTGCTCACATAAGGACTTGTTACTTAGCACATGCCTGTTGTGACTTGTGTCACCCTGTAGTATTTATAGTAAAATGCCCCTTCTTGCCAGGTGAGCCACAGGCGGTGAGCACAAAGGAGTATTTTCCTAGACGATCCCTCTTTATTGCAACTGGAGAGTCCGAGCCAGGCACATACTTTATGAATGAGAGAAGAATTAAGTTGTTTAGCTAAATCTCCTTGAGCTGTGGTTAGAAGTTGGCCGAAGCCATCAAATCAGGCCCCAGGAACCACAACTTATTGGACTACAGTTTTATTTTTATTTTAATGTTTTCCTCTGTCTGGTGTGCTACTAGTCATTTGTAGGCTGGTAGAGGTGAGTGTTTCAATGGCAGGGTTTGTCTTTCCTTCTTCTTCTTCTTCTTCTTTTTTTCTTTTGGTTAGTGGGTGGGTAGTTAGTTGGCTGTGGTTTATGAAATGCATGTGTGGGAAACCTCTGTATAAAAGTCTATGCTCCGTGGTGATTGTGTTAACTACATGAAAGGCAGGTTTCTAGAAGATTCTGCCTGAAGCTGTGAGTGGGTATGTAGTTAAGGCTCATGTTGCACTCTGTCCCTTCCCCTGATCTTAGTACGTTCCATGTGGTGTGACTGGAGGAATTGGCAATATTCCAGTAGTCTTTTTTAAAATATACTCCTTTATGCTTATTAAGAAACCTCACTCAGAACTTAACCCAATAGACCAGGCATATGTTACATAATACTAAATAATCAACATAGTAATAGCAAATACTTATACAGAACTTAAGAACAGTAGGCATTTTTCTAAATGTTTTAGTTGTAGTAACTGTTAAAGTTGTCTTTTGAAAATAGGGTAATTATATTTAAAGTTCATATACTCTCAAGAGAGGAAAGGAAAAAATATGACATAGTAGAAACCAACCCAGTTCACTAAACCCTTGGTCTGTCATCCATTTCTATTTGACTTTTATATTAGAAAATTGCTTTTCAGTGAACCAACAAGTATCTTGTCTTTCTTGTTGAAAGAACATCTCTTTTACTTTTCTAAGTGGGAATGGAATATGCAGTTTACTTTTCCAAATATTTGAGAAACTGCCTTAATTTGGCTATGGTTCTTAATCAGCTATATAGATTAGGGCAACTTTTCCCAAATAACCTGTGTTTTATGTTAAGAGGTCCTGTTGGGGAGAGGGTGAGTCTACTGTTTTTTTATTGCTACCAAAAAAAAAAAGGGAGCACAAATGTAGCAGCTTACAATAACATACATTCACTATCACCCAGTTTCTGGGGGTCAAGAATATGGGGGTAGCTTGGTGGGGTCCCTTGCTTCAGGGTCTGTGACAGGCTTCCCTCAAATTGTTGATCAGGGCTGAGGTCTCTTCTGAGGCTTGACTGAGGAACTATCTTCTTCCAAGCTCAGATGATAGAATTTGGTTCCTAAAGTCTTAGTGGACAGTGGTCCTCAGTTCCTAGTTGATCGTTGGCCGGAGGAGGCCTCATTCCTTGCTGCATGAGTCTGTCTAATGCAGCAACATATTGCAATGCAAGCTGAGAAGGCAATAGACTGAGTCTGCTAGCAAGATGGAGGTGGCAATCTCATGTAATACAATCACAGAAGTCATATCCCATCACCTTTGCCATATTCTATTGTTGGAAGCAAATTCCAAGCCCCATTCACACTTGAGGAAAGCAAATTATGCAAGCCCATGAATCCCAGGAGGCAGTGATCATTAGGGGGTCATTTTAGAGTCTCTCTGTCATAGGAAGGAAGGAAGGAAGGAAGGAAGGAAGGAAGGAAGGGAGGAAGGGAGGGAGGGAGGGAGGGAGGGAGGGAGGGAGGGAGGGAGGGAGGGAGGGAGGGAGGGAGGGAGGGAGGGAGGGAGGAAGGGAGGTTGGTTTTATGCTCGATTAAGGGTGAGAACTGCTTTATACTGTCTCAATACTCAGGATATTCTTAATGCCTATTTACATATTAAAAGTTCTAAGAAGTCCTCTTAAATTTTGTGTAACCTAGTACTTCCCAAACACATTTGATCAAGAAACTCTTTTTTCATCAAAAACTTTCTGTGGAATAAAGATTGAGAAACATTGAATTGTGTATGTGTGTTTGTATTTTTTTTCTATTCATCCAAAAGATTGGTACTGAAACTATACCTTGTGGTTATATTCCTGGAATCCAAGAAATTCTGTATTTATAGATTTTGATGACAATCTAAAAAAAAAATTAATAGGGGTAACTAGTGGGTCATGTAAATAACCACCTGATAGTCAAGTCCCACCATGAGATTTCACACCACGGTGGGTGAGGCTACTATCCTGTTGGCACCAGTCAGTGATACTTCGGGGGCTGAAGACTAACAAGAAATGAAGTCGAACAAACTTATAAATAATGTATCAGGAGCAGATAAAGGCCCAAATTTATCATGGTACACTATGACTTCATAGTAATTTCAGTAGAGAAAAGTTGCAGTGCAATGAGTCATTACTCACCAAAAATACTATAAAGAATGCTGGCTCAAAAGAATCTGGGCCAGATCAGTGAGTGGAACATTCATGTGGAATGTAGCTTTTTGGTTTCTGCAAAATAACATTAACCGTTTCATTAATATTAACTCAAATTTAGTTTTATGGTCTTGCTTTTATTTAATCTTGTAAATTGCTTTTGGTATTAGAGTTATATGAAACTCTAAAGATAAATAAATACAGTGCTCATAGTTTTATAATTGCAAGTATGGAAATAAAATTGTGATAAAGTAATGTGTCTGCACTGCCTCTCCTTAGGGAACTTTTCCTTTAACAGATAACCATCTATTATTAAAGATTGGGAAACACTGTCTCTTTATCTTAATAGTCCACTAATTGTGGGCTGTAGTGAATCTTTCATCTTAACTAGACTATTAATAAACTTGATGCTGTTCCTTAGTTTTACTAATTCGTTTTAAAGAACTAGAGGGGACATCAATTTCAGTTGGTTTCTTCCTTCTTCACCAATGTGTTTTAGGCCAGTGTGTTGGGGACCATTGCTTGACTGGGGGAAGAAGGGAGCAGCTGAGCCCTCCCACTGCCTCCCTCCAGGGCGAACTGTTGTTATTAACAGGCACATGTCAGGTCCCTTAGGAGTCTTATAAAGAGCAGAAAAACTTTCTTCCTCTCTGTTCAGTTTTTTGGTTCAAGCTGGTTGCACTGTGTTATAGCTGGAGATTTCCTCACCAACAGAGGCTTTGTCCTTCAGTCCTATCCTCTGTGAGGAAAGAGCCTGGTCATGTCTAGATTTTGTAATTAACCACCTAAAGCATGACCCCAAAGCATCACCTTCTGAAAAGCCTACATGGGCTAATTTCATAAAGTTGTGGGCTCCATCCAGGGAGAGAACAGGTGCCTATAGGAAACCTTCCCGTGCAAAGAGAGCAATATAAAGGTTTGCCCAGAGAACAGAGAAAAATAAATATTCCACAAACAAGACTGTGTAGAGTCAGTTAGTTGGTGGGAAGAAGACTAGGAAGGAGGTGGTTGGCTTGGGTGTGACTGTCCTAATGGTGCATTTACCAGCTGAGTTTTCTAGTGAAGATATTTCTCTCCATACCAGTGAGACTGTGGTGTGTATGTCACATGTGGGGGCACAAACACATGATCCAGTAATGTGATGTTGTAGCAGAGTTAGGAACCAAAGGTTGTGGAGAAGGGTGTGTGCAGTTGCCGAGAGAATTCTGGAAGGTCTTCTCCGAGCAGCATCCTGTGATAGTCCCAGTCTGCTTTGCAAGATCATCCCTGGAATCAAATGAAAAGATAGTGTATCAAACCCACAATACTATACAAATGTGACATTATTGTGATGTTATGGAGAAGCATCTTCAGATATCTGGTCTTCAGACATCTGTCTTTTCCCTGAATCCATATTGTACTTAGCAAGCTTCCAATGTGTCTTTGCATTCTTAAGTATTCATGAGCAAACTGATTCTCATGAATTTCTCATTAAAAACCGGCAGGTGTTCTGTGCTTCCCTCCTTGGGAACAGAGGTAACAGAGAAGATGATATGTTCTGTCTCTTCAGGTGGCCCTCTGCTCTATGAGAACATCACATTTGTCTATAACTCGGAGCAGCTGAACGGGACTCAGCGGGTTCTCCTGGATAACGTCCTGTCGGAAGAACAGTGCCGGGAGCTCCACAGCGTGGCCAGTGTGAGGATCCAAGAGGTGGGGTGGGGGGAGGAGGGAGCCTGAGGGTGCCAGCCTGGTGGGAGCCCTGAAGCTCTCTGGTCCTAGTCTCACTTGGAGTCAGGAAACCAGGCCTGAAACGTCACTTTCTTTAGGACAAGGACCTCGATGTGGGGGCATTTTCATAGCCTGGTTTGGGCTGATTTGAATTTTGTTTAGATCTGGACACAGCTCATGGATCTGGAATAGTTAGTGGCTTAATACATAGGACAATGGCCATTCAGCATGTGCCCTGCCTACCTTATGAAGTCACTGGGAAATCTCTTTAATTTAATTGATAATTAACCAATATATTAATCATTTATAGCCTACCTATTTCTACAAAAACTGGTATTTCATGATGAACATGTAGAGTGAAGTTTAAATGAAGATATCTCTTTTGATTGGAAGGATTAATGATACCAGGATCCTGGTACAAAATAGGGATGGTTCTGAGTATTGACTGCGGTCCTTAGCTTCCTGGCAGTCAAGGCAAAAAGGGAAAGCTGATGAAGTCGTTGCTGTCATTAATAAAGCATCTTTTTATATTTTGCTGCCAGGGAATCATGCTTGTTGGTGATGGATACAGAGGAAAAACTTCACCCCATACACCCAATGAGAAGTTTGAAGGTGCAACCGTCCTGAAAGCACTCAAAGTAAAGTCGTAGCTTCTTTTGGGTTTGGGTTCCTAAGCATTATCAGATACCTTCTGTGCATTACAGGTATAGGAAAGAGGAGAGTCCAGACTGTAGACCTGTCAGGAGAGATGAAGGGAGCAAGTATTAAATGACATCTCCATTGTTTTAAATCATTCCTGATTCCTTCACTGAGTTATCAACTTATCAAACTTTTTATCTCCTAAATTCATATCTGACAAATAATACATAGTCCCCCCTGTCCTCAAGGAGCTCCTGGTGCAATGGCGAAAACATACTGAACCACATGATGATTCTGCACCACACCAAGGGTTGTTGGGGAGGTAGCTTTCAGTGTTCTCACTGTGATTAGGAAGGATGAATTTCAATGGCTTATTTTACTAACCAGAATCCTCGAGCATGTGGTCATATTCCCACTGGTCAACGCAGACTTGACCATCCTTATATTGCCTTACTGAAACCTAGTGTCTGTATTTCTCAAGCCTTCCGATCAACCCAGTGCAATCTCATGTTCTTCTTTGTCTTCAGTTTGGTTACGAAGGCCGAGTCCCACTGAAGAGTGCCCGGCTGTTTTATGACATCAGCGAGAAGGCTCGAAAGATTGTAGAATCCTATTTCATGCTGAACTCAACCCTGTATTTTTCCTATACACACATGGTCTGCCGAACTGCTCTGTCTGGTAAGATTCCAGAGTCTGAACTCGTTCCCTCCTACCCAGGGTGAAATGAGAAAGAAAACAATGTAAAACAAAGTTCTGTTACATTTTAGACTCATGGTTTAGCAAAGTTCTAAATTCCCCAAACAGAAGAAGCTTGTTCACTCTTTTCTCCCCCTTTCCTCTTCTCCTTTCTGGCCCCCTCAAGTTCCAGAAGGCCATTGCTCTGCCTGTCTTTCCTTTCAAAACTATTTTCCTTACTTGCTTAAAGTCACACAAAGACTTTCCTGCTTTAGGTTTTACTTTCCAGGGAACCAGGAACCTGAAGATTATAGTCCCCCATCATGCCCCCAAAGCATTAAGTGGTTGCTTAGAAGATGAAGGGATTGTTGAAAGAAATGTTCTTAAAAAGGCAGAGACCGCCTCACTCCCGGCTGTCATGATTTCTCCCCTAGATCTTCTCTTCCACACTCTGTTGAGTAGGAGGGAAGGAAGGATGTCATGGGAGGAGACTTTGACACATGAACTTTCAGCTGAATCAGCCTTTTCTTTTTACATATTCTTTTCACCCCTCTCATTTGCCTGCCCCACATGAGGTCCAACCCATGGAATGCATGGAATTTCTACTATGTATCTTCATATCAAGAAACTTTTATAGCAAAACAGGCAGGCGTGATTTGTCCATGGTTTTACATCAAGTTTGCACCAAAGCAGGACCCGTCTCTTGACTGCTTAGTCGGTTCGTTCATCTCTGTGGGTCTATCTTGTGTCTCAAATTTGCAAAGGCCAGCAGCGATGGGAGAAGACAGGTTGTCAGCTTTGCTGTTGGAGGTTCCTGCTCTCCTGTCATTCTCACCAGTTCCCTTTTCCGGCAGGTCAGCAGGATAGAAGAACTGACCTCAGTCACCCCATCCATGCCGACAACTGCCTGTTGGATCCTGAGGCCAACGAATGCTGGAAGGAGCCTCCTGCTTACACGTTCCGGGACTATAGGTACAACCAGCACTGCCTTCACAACCAAGCTTTTGTCCAACAGTTGCCAACTACCCATGGAAATTAGAAAACTGATATGTTTGGCTTGTCATCATATTCATCTTGATGAAGCAGAGATCCTCAAATCTCTGTGGCAGCTGACACAACCAGGAAGTGACTTGATCATCTCAGATTTTACCTTGAAAAGCCAAGCACATTCTGTTGCATCGGAATCCACAAAATCCCATTTTGTTTTCATATAAAAAGTAAAGCTTTCTTTGTTGATCATTTGGTTTTCACTGAAGTGTATCCCTTGTGGGTTGCGTATCTCAGTCTGAGAACCCAAGGATATGCTGTCCCGATGCACACAGGGATCTTACAGTATCACTCACCAATGTCTGCCTTTTATAAACAAGAAACTGGAAACTTGGAGGGAAAATTAGGTGATATTGTAGTGCCCAAAGAGAAGTCACCATGTATATAATAGTGGTTTATTACTACTGCAGCGTGCACCATACAAAAAACATTTATTGAACAACCGTATCCACAAAGTAAGACTACACCTTTTGGAGCTCTCTAGCTCCTTCGGGAGGAAATAACATCCTTTCAAGTTACAAGCATAAGAGGGAAGAAGAGAATGATAAGTAGCATGGGCAGGTTCAAAGGGGTAGATTAAATCTAATTAGGTTTTCTTGGGAAAAAGTGAAATGTGCGATAAAATTTGAAATATGATTAAAATATTAGCATAAGTGAAACAGATAAATACTTCAGGGGTATGACCCAAACTATATCTGATCTTTTTAGGGCTAGGAGGGTCAGTAATTTCAATGTCCAGTTCAAAGGAAACTTAACCAATCAGACTGGTCAGTTTATTACATCTCTGGTATTCTCTGACAAAGCTGTTGTAAGCACATCATAGTACAAATGGGTTTCTATTTTTTTTCTTCCAGTGCTCTCCTGTATATGAATGATGACTTTGAAGGAGGAGAGTTCATTTTCACTGAGATGGATGCCAAGACTGTGACCGTAAGTAAACCTATACAGGCAAGTTTTTGTAGCAGTTCTTCATCTCCAGCTTGCTGTTTTCCAAGGATTCACAGACTGTTGGACTTCTAATAGCTGAGCTTAAGAATTCAAGAGATGCACAGGGGCCCAGCAAATGTATGCATCCTAAAATGTTAGAGATGGACTCATCAATAAAATCTTCCAGTCCATTTTACAGATGGGTAATTTAAAGAATAGGTATATGAAGCAACTGCTCATGATTAGATAGCTAGTTAGTGTTAGACCTGCAACCAGAACTTAGGTCTTCTGATTCTTTGTCAGGTAGTCTAAGGGAAACATAAAAACACCTATTTCTAAGTCATCCATGCCTAGGACTAGACCAATGGGTTCTATAGGATAGTTTTCGAGCAACCTGGTGTTCTCCATGCTTATACTGAGTATTGGGCTCTAGACCCCTAGTTATCAAAATTACTATATATGTGTGTACGGATATATATGCTTATGGCTGCAAGTAATCCTATACATGAAAATTGATACATACACATGACACACACACACACACACACTCACACTATAGATGAGATTCTAAACACACCCTTGTAGGTAAAAATCAACAGTTAACTTCAACTACCGTCTTCCTAGGCAAACCAGTGCCTTTGGAAAACCAGTCCACTGGGTTATAGACCATTTAGCCAGCATCTTTTGGACTTTAAGCCAAAGAGTATAAACCATGGTAGAAAAATATATTTTCTAATTGAGGATGTAATTGAATTGTAAATAGATTATGAGATACATCTTTCCTCCATATAAAATCTAAATAGTTGAGGCATGTATCTGACAAACTTCAAGGATTTTGTCTTATACATACTCTTTTCACTGCTTTTTCTGAGTATTATGTTTTCCCTCTCCTATTTTGTAGGAGACACCCCTATATCATTTATGGCATACTGGTGGGGTATAAGCAGATGATATAAAAAATTCTGTACTACTGGGTTTAAAAGGGAACCCTATGGAGATTCAGGTTAAAATTGTCCAGAAACATTGGAATAATTAAGAAAAAATATTTCATACCATTTTACGCAATAATGTGTATCTAAAAGGTTATGATGTCTCACGCTTTGTTGTAAAAGCTTAAGTATCAACAGATTCATTATCTGGAAAACTAAATCAAGATTGATGATCCGGGTTGCTTCTAATCCCGACACAAAAATTATCATTTTTTTTTAAAGTCTCTGTGCAGAAAGCTCTGAGCTCTGCTAACACTAGAACAGATTTTAAAATGCTTCCAGCTCACACAGTTGGAAAGAAAATCAGACAGGTGGTTGAAAAGATTTCTTTGCTTCTACTCCATCTAGTGGCCATATTTGGAAATGCTTAATGTTTGAAAGCAAGTGATGCCTGGAATACCATGTAAGAATCAGTAATTCATTAATTGTTGAATGCAAGTTAACTGTAATTCTGCTGTTTAAAGATGTGAAAGCAGATAATACTGCTTTCATATAGCTGTACTTTTAAGAGAAAGGTGTAACTATTTTAAAACGTACTGACTCTAACCCTCACCACCACCCCTAAAAAATAGAAAAACCGATTTAAACAGTGTTTTGATTGAAAAGCTCCAAGTTGATAGATTCATTTTCCCAAGTTAGCTCTACTTCATATTAATACATATGGTGGAGTTTTTAGAGGATTTTGTAAATAATTAAAATTCTTAGGTAATCAGTTGGGACTGATACAAAGAGAAATGGATAATTTTACTTTTCAGCTTTCCTTTCTTTGACATAAGGGACAAATGAAGCAGAGAAGTGGCCCAACTTGGGGCTACACAAGGAAAAAAGTCCTCTAAGTTCTTTACTTTGGAAAAATCTGGGAATTACACAATTAACTGAATGGTGGCTAAAGATTTACATTCATTCAAGACGAGTAGAGCACAAAGGCTTCTCTGACTTTGAATCATCAGTTAGATGAAAAGCAAAAGGAATTTTTTTTATCGTACTTGGAAGATACATAGATTATGTTCAACAGCAGCATATTTGTGAAACATGAGTATTTTGGTATTTGGGTTTCACTGTACAAGTTTGAGAGAGGTGAAATTTAATAATTTCTATTTGCGGAGCGCCTGGGTGGCTCAGTCTTTAAGTGTCTGCCTTCGGCTCAGGTCATGGTCCCAGGGTCCTGGGATCGAACCCCGCATCGGGCTCCCTGCTCAGCGGGAAGCCTGCTTCTCCCTCTCCCTCTCAACCTGCTTATGTTCCTTCTCTCGCTGTCTCTCTTTCTGTCAAATAAATAAAATCTTTAAAAAAAAAATTTCTATTTGCTTCACAAAAAATTAAATTCAATATAGAACTGTGCTCCAGAAGTATATTTACAATCATCTAAACTTCAGGACATATTTTTCTATAGAAGTTATGTCATACATGAAGCTTGTTTATTCCTTTCCGTGGCTGATATATAACAGGTGACGCTCTCCATTTGGTAAGACTGGTCACAGAGACTTCTGTGAACCTACATACCTATGATCAATTCCAAATGCTTCAGGTAGCTGATAGCTTCTTCTCCTAAACTTTCCCAAGTTCTTCCTGTGTAAAAATACTTTGAATTCATCCAGTTCCATCGGAGATAAAGCATCAAGTTGTCCCCACACCCTGTGTTTAATATTGTAAAATGTTACTGCTGACACTTGATAATCACATAGAAGCAATGGTGCCCACGTGTGCTTGAGTGAGCCCTGACCAGCATCTGGGAATGAGCTGCCCAGAAAACTCGAAACTGGATCTTAAAGCTGCGAGTAGACCAAGGCTTTCCTTCATATGTTTCAAGCATCATTTATTTTTTTTGTTTCCATCTGGAAACTTACAACAGATTCCTTCTCCAGGAAAATGAAATCAGATTGACACCAAGGGCACCCTTAAGGAGTGAATTCTCTAGATTTGCATCCGAAGTCACCTTGACAAAGCTGCAGAAGTAAAGCAACTCTCTCCAGCAAAGACAAATCATTTCTCAATTATTGTGAATAGAAGAGTAACCAGAAGCTGACTGCTTTTCTCTGCTTGTCACACACACACACACACACACACACACACAGACAGGTTTCAGACTTCTTGACTCCTCCATCTCCCTCTGACCTTCCATGTGTATCTTACCGTCTAGGGGTCCCTCTGTTAGGTAGCATCCAAGGACCTCAGGAAATTTTCCAAATATTGTTCCTGAAGCTGGCAGTGGAAACACATAGCCATCCCCTTTTATGGTGAAGGAAACCAAAGGTTTTTCTAATGAGCATGTATCAATCCAAGTCAGTGCAGAAGATAACTAGTTAAAATGAGCCCTGGGCACCTGGGTGGCTCAGTCGGTTAAGCGTCTGCCTTGGGCTCAGGTCATGATCCTGGAGTCCCGGGATAGAGCCCCACATCCGGCTCCTTGCTCAGTGGGGAGTTGACAGGCTTCTTCCTCTGCCTCTCCCCCTGGTTTGTGCTCTCTCTCTCGCTCACTCTCTCTCTCTCTGTCTCTCAAAATAAATAAAATCTTTTAAAAAATAAATAAAATGAGCTCATCTCATCAAATGGTAGAATGGTACCACTTTTTCTTTTCTTTTACTTTACTTTTCTAAGCTCTGCTATGGAATGAGTAATGTGTCTGTGTTTCTCAAGACAGAAAAATGAACTCTACTGACACCAAGACACTTCTTAAATACAGACGCCAGGCCCCTTACATTCTGTTGCTTCAGTTCCCCCGTTCGGAGAGCCCGCTCGCGTGATCTCCCCCGCCGGCTCCCTAGCGGTGCTGCTTTTCTCTCTGCTGTCTTCTACTCAACATTAGTGAGCAGTTTCACCTGAGCACTGCACAAGGTTGGCAGGACCGTGTTAATCATTTCAGAGCCCGGAGGCCACGGACTAGGTCTCCCCAAGGAGGGGAGCGTTCTCATTACTGGAGGTATTAAAGCATTCACTGAGGACCATTGGGCAGGAATACTGTAGTGCGAATTAAAGTAGCATATGACATTAGACTTGGCTTTTAAAAATCTCTGTGTTATGAAAGGCTCACAAGCCAAACACATACGATTCAGGCATGGCAAAGGGTGCACCCGTAGGGCCACTACCTAGATCAATAATAAAAATGTACCAGCACTCCTGCAGTCCTTAATTTGTTTTTGTCATTCCGCAAATATTAAATGGGCCTCTGCCATAGGCCAGATACCGTGCTAGGGCTCAAGGCCGGGAGCCAGCCATTTTACCTGAACACTTTTATGTCTGAATCACACATTGTTCTGAACTTACCTCTGTTTTACGGGTGAGGAAATTGAACCAATCTACCGACCCCAGTGCCAGGATTCCATTATTCTTTGATTCAAAACTTGACCTAAAAAATCCCATAGAAGGGTGGAGAAAGGGATTGTAGAAATGCTCATAATATGGAAAGGAGAGTCTTCATTTTCCCGTTCTTCCTTAGGCCTCTATCAAACCAAAGTGTGGGCGTATGATCAGCTTCTCGTCTGGAGGAGAGAACCCGCATGGAGTGAAGGCGGTAACCAAGGGCCAGAGGTGTGCCGTAGCTTTGTGGTTTACCTTGGACCCGCTTTATAGAGAACTGGTGAGTCTGTGGCCCCCCCAGAAGGCCAGTTAGATGTTCCAAAGACCTGCTTTGTGAACTGGTTTATCCGAGAAGCCCTTGAATTGATCCATAACCCTTCAGGGATCTTAGAGATCACAAAAATCAATCAATCAATCAAACTATTACAGAGTCCTTTCTTTCTGGTTCCCAACACTGGCTGTGTTTTCTAAGCAAGAATAGATTTTCCTGTTCAGATCCACGATGAAGCAATTAACACATGTGCTGTGTGTAGTGTGAGTTTGAGAGAACGAAGAGGGGCTAGGAAGGCAACTCTTGATCAGATGGGTTCTTTTTTTTTTTTTTAAAGATTTTATTTATTTATTTGAGACAGAGAGAATGAGAGACAGAGAGCATGAGAGGGAGGAGGGTCAGGGGGAGAAGCAGACTCCCCGCTGAGCAGGGAGCCCGACGCGGGACTTGATCCCGGGATTCCAGGATCATGACCTGAGTCGAAGGCAGTCGCCCAACTGACTGAGCCACCCAGGTGCCCTTTTTTTTTTTTTAATATAAATCAAAAAAATCTGTGGGAAAACGTCATTCAACCTTTTTTTTTCAAAGATTTTATTTATTTATTTGAGAGAGAGAGACTGAGAGACAGAGAGCATGAGAGGGAGGAGGGTCAGGGGGAGAAGCAGACTCCCTGCCAAGCAGGGAGCCCGATGCGGGACTCGACCCTGGGACTCCAGGATCATGACCTGAGCCGAAGGCAGTCGCTTAACCGACTGAGCCACCCAGGCGCCCTTTTTTTTTTTTAATATAAATCAAAAAAATCTGTGGGAAAACGTCACTCAACCTTTTTTTTTCAAAGATTTTATTTATTTATTTGAGAGAGAGAGACAGAGAGAGAGCACATGAGAGGGGGGAGGGTCAGAGGGAGAAGCAGGCTTCCCGCCGAGCAGGGAGCCCGATGCGGGACTCGATCCCGGGACTCCAGGATCATGACCTGAGTCGAAGGCAATCGCTTAACCAACTGAGCCACCCAGGCGCCCCCAGATGGGTTCTAATAAGGGAATGTTTGTGGAAATAGAAATTGAAGTGATGTCTGGCAGTCTCTAGTTAGTCTTGAGCTTCTTACCAAACTGTGGCATCAGGAGAGAGGAACCACTTTCTACTGGGCACCAGGAAGACTGTTTTATTTTCTCAATAAATCATTAAAAAGAGCACTGAATCATTTATGAGACACATGTAGGAGACAGTGAGTCAACCTGAAAGTTTGTCATTATTTACTATTATTAACTTAAACATTGCATATTAACATATTGTTATCATATTGGAAGTAGACTCTTAACCTGGATTCCATCCTCCTGGATGCCCCTGGCCAGAGCTTATGGTCTCTATGAGGCTGCAGAGGGAGGAGTTAAGACCAATGGGTATAAGCCCGTGGAAGGAAAATGTCAGCTCAACATGGGAATGACTTTCAAATTGTCGCCACTGCTTGGTGGCATCGTCCGCCTCAGAAGTAGCAAGTTCATTTTCACTCCCGTCAAAGCCTCGGCAACAGCTTGGCACGGGATGCTGACGTTGAAACCGAAACTTCACGGCAGGGGCTAAACTGGGGGTCTTCGGTCTCCTCCAGCCCCGGGTATTGGCGAGCTATGAAAATCTAGTCGTTATAATGGCATCCGATCGAGTTTTCTCTTTGGATACCTAAATTAGATCCAGTTTAGTCAGAAACTGTTTAAAATTCATTCCTCTGTCTCATGCTTTTTGCCATTGGATCTAGCTCACACAGATTTCAGGCCGCATTCCGTAAGCATTCTTTCATGTACTTTGCAGATGTTTATGGAAGATCTCTGTGCCTGGGCAACTCTGCTAGGTAGGCCCTGGGGGTACAAGGATGACAAAGCACAGTCCATGACCATGAGGAGCTTGGAGAGGTCGACAAGGACATAGATCTAGGACAGCAGTGTGCATTTTGTAGGGGGCATCAAGGAAGACTGACTGATAGAGGCTCGCTCCCCACCGAGGAGCCAGGCACCTGAAGGGGCAAGAGTGTCCTCCTGGTCCTGGCCGGAGGTGAGAGGGCTGCTGGCAGATCATGCAGTTCTGAAATCTTCAAGGAGCACTGAACAGCCTCCCTCAGCTGTGATTCCTTTCTTTCCTTGTGCTTGTCCACTCTAAAACACCAGCAAACCGCCCCCCCCCCCCGCCCCCGAACTGTTCTCTTGCACCAGAGAATCTAGGCAAACGAGCAGATGGGGAAGATGATAAATTCTTGGAACATCACCACACTCTTTTCCCTTTAGTGTTCAATTCAGCAGACACTGAGTCCGTTTCATTACTCAGGATCCCAACCATCTCTTCTAAGATATTTTCCATCAAACAAAGGGACACAAAGTAAATTCTCATGGCTCCTTCCTAATCCAGTGTTAGGAAACTTCTCCAGAATCCAGGCAGTAGTGGCATCTAGTGGTCACAGGAGGGAATGACCAGAACCTCTTCAGCAACTACTAGAAAATTTAGCCTATGGGATTCCCAGACTTGGCTCCGCATTGTAATCAGCTAGGGAGTTTTACAACTACTGACATCTGTCTCCATCCTCAAACATTCTGGCTAAATTGATAAGGAGTGTGACCTGGGTATGGAGAGCTTTAAAAGCTCCCCAGGTAATTCGAATCTGCAATAAACCTTGGGAGTCCTGAGTTAGGCGCCTCTTCTCAGATTGAATCCCTGAGCAAGCCTATGGAGGAGTCAACAGAGCTGGCAGATTTCCCTGCTTGTTCTAGATTGTTTTAAAGGTTATCAGTTCGCAAAGTGTAGTTAGCATTGTAAACTCCGGAGGATGCACAATGCAGAAGCTTCAGTTCCTTGGACGTGGAGTTCCAGCTCAGGAACTTCTTCCCTTTTGGGAGAGACATGATTGCAAGGGTCTCTTGCAGCAGTCAGATCTGAAAGTTTGTATCAGTTTTGCACATCAGTTTGTTAAGCAGAAAGTTGTCGTTCCCATGTTCATAAAGTAGTCCTCAGGCATCTTACTTTGCATGACATCAATTTAGCTTTCTTATTTAGTATATTTAGTCCCTTTGGTTGTCTTTATGGAGGCATCATTTTCAATGATAAGTCTTGAATGGAAGGGCTTGTTTTCAAGTGATAAAACAGTTTTTCCATAACTTGCTGGGGTTGGCATTGTACTAGAGACTAGCAATAGGGGGCGTGGACTACATAAGACATACCCCTATTTTCAAGGAGCTTGAGGTCAAAATGGAGACATAAGGTGAGGGCTAAAGTAATTAAAACACCAGGTAAAATTCAGTAAGATGCGACAACCTAGTTAAGAAACACTAATTCTATTCTAACTAGGAAAAGAAACCCATGCGCCCTCCCCTGCTCCCCCTCCCCCCATTCTGGGAAGTTACAGGATAGGACAGACAATATGGTACCTCTAGTACGTACAGGATAGGAAGCTGCATCTAGACTACATGTCATGGACTACAGTAGTGATAGAGAAGGTGAAAGAACATGGAAGGTTGGAGATGCCATTTAGAGGTAGATCAACTGGGCCTGCTGATGGTTTGATGTAGGGGGAAGGGAAAGCATTGGATATGATGGAAACATTCAGAAGGACCTTTAACCTAGACTAGGGCTAGGGATTTCTTTGAGAGTACGGGGCCTTGAAGTAAGTCGGGAAGTTACAGTATAAGGTGAGGTGAAAAGAGAAGGCAAAGGGGAACCAAAGAAGAGAGAAGGGTCTAAATCAGGCAACTCCTTATAAGCACACCAAGGAGACTGGGCCTGGAACCTCAAACAACAGGAACCCATGCAAGGGTTGTGAGCACGAACCCGACAGTGACGTGGTCGGGACTGAAATGCAGAGGACCCCTTAGAAGCATGTGCAAGTAGGGTGTGCAGTGGGGGTATGATTTGGAAGCTGCAGCAGTTGAACTAAGAGATGGTGAGAACCCATACCTGTGGTTCTCTAGTGGGAGCAATTTTGCTTCCTAGGGCATGTTCGGCAAGGTCTAGGGACGTTTTTGGTTGTTAAAACTTGGAGGGAGGTGCTACCAGGTCCCTGGAGTGGGCAGAGGTCAGGGCTGTTGCTAAAAATTCTACTAGGTGCAGGACCGCCCCCAACAACAAAGAATTCTCTGGTCAGGAGTGCCACGGTTGAGAAATCTGCCCTCAGCTAAGACAACAGTAATGGGCCCTGTAAAGGGGTGGAAACAGGAGGTGGAACAGACAGGACTTGGTGATTTATCAGATGGGCTGGGCTTTCAGGGCAAATGGGTGAGCAGAGGCGGTGTTTGCTGAGAGAGAGAATTGGCGAGCTGGACCGGAATAGGTGTGTGGGGGAGAAAACGCTGACTCCAGCTGGAACGCTGATTGGAGCACTGAGTCGGAGATGCCTACTGAACCACAGCATAGAAAGGGTGTTCAGGGCGCCTGGGTGGCTCAGTTGGTTAAGCGACTGCCTTCGGCTCAGGTCGTGATCCTGGAGTCCCGGGATCGAGTCCCGCATCTGGCTCCCTGCTCAGCGGGGAGTCTGCTTCTCCCTCTGACCCTCCTCCATCTCGTGCTCTCTGTCTCTCATTCTCTCTCTCTCAAATAAATAAATAAAATCTTAAAAAAAAAAAAAAAAAGGGTGTTCATCAGATGAATACACAAGACTTCCAGGCAAGAGAGAAATCTTGGAAAGTTATTGCTTAGGACATAACGAAGTCAGGAGAAGCCAGCACTGGAGGGACGGGGATGAGGGTCAATCCTGAACTGGACCTAGCACCCATCTCTGCACAGATCGATGCCCGGAAGTGTTTGGGAAGCACCTGTCGCGGGGGCTGACCATGATTCCTGTAACAGAAATGTATCCATTACCTGTTTTGTAGGAGCGAATACAGGCCGATGAAGTGATCGCCATCCTGGATCAGGAACAGCAAGGGAAGCATGAACTCAATATCAACCCCAAAGATGAGCTATAAAGATGAGGGAAAGAAAAGTTCTATCAGATATTTATTTAAATTGTTAATCTTATGAGAACCCTTTTATTTTTGTACAGAGCCACGGTATAAATTAACAGGTTAATCCAAGTCGCCAGATCCCCCTTCCGTTCCTGAGGATGCTCGCTTTGCCTCCCTCAGCCTGTCCGTCTTGGTTTCTCATCAGGTCGTCTCTCCCCTTCCCCTCCGTGCACAGTCACGCACGCACGCGTGCATGTCGTTTGCTGCAGATCTGAGAGCTCAAGCAGAAAGAATAAGTTCATTCTTGGTGGAACTACACTTCTCTTGCATGCTCCAGTTCTAAAGTTAGCATGTGATTTGGACTCAGAAGTCTTTCTGGCCCCGTGCCCTTCAGCAACACCCTCTCCCAGTGTGGGGGGGCCATGAGCTGGAGTTCCAGGATCCCCCGGCAGGGTCTGCACTGCCTCGCGTGTCCCTGGATCCAGTTGGAAGAACGCTGCAGGAGATGGAGGGGCCCAGCCTCGCCAGGGCCTTGGTGGACTTCCTGGCCCTGGGATTTTCACCTGAGGACAAATTTACACTGGAAGCTTCGATTCCTCCTCCACAGTGCTCCAGAAAGGGCTGCCTGAAGACTTGTGTCTTTAAAAAAAGGTTGTTCAAGGGGTTGAAGTAGAAAGACTCTTCACCCCAGTGCCTTTGGAAGAAAATCTTCAATCCCACATGACTCAGAGCATCACCGACACGTTGCCTGAGCGTGGGGCCCATTGATGGGTAGGGGCATTTTGTAAGAAAAATGGATTTTGGACCGATTCCCATCCTCAGCTACATGTATTTTGTTCCGCCCTCATCTTGGCTGCTGTCCAGTTTACAGATTCGTGCTTGGGTCTGATTGTTTAATACAGGGAGCCTGATCCTGACATCTGGCATTTATTTTTCTTCTCCCAAACGTTTGGTGTATCCTCAAGTAATGGTTTTGTGACTTCGGGGCAGCCCAGGGACAGCACTGGGCTCTGACTTGTTTGGCTGGCAGATGCTTCAGGGCCACAAGGAAAGTGGAAACACTGCTTTTGAAGGCACGGAAATGGTTAGCAGAGGTGTTCGTCCAGAGAACGTGTGGTCCTTGGCCAGAATTCTAAGGAAGCCCTGCAGAGACATTATTTGGGGTGGGGCTGGGGTTGTTCTAGCCTTGGGAAGCCTGCTAACCGGTGGGAGATTACTTGCCTCTGTGAGGGGCTCTAGTAGGGGTGGTAGTTCTTAAGAAAACCAGCAGATCTAAACATCCTCTGAAAAATCACATTTATTGGTTGCCATTTATGATCTTGGTTGATGGTTAAGCACATTCATCCTTTGAGACTGAAAAATTGAGTCACAGTGAGTTATGTGATTTCCATCTGATTTCCACTCAACCTTCAGCTGGGAGAAGGGAAGGAGCATTAGGCTGTAATCCCAGCTGGATCCAGTATGCCCTGCTGTGTGACCTGGAGCTACTGTCTCTCCCTTTCTGGGTTTCAGTTTCCTTATCTGAAAATGACATAACAGGTTAAATTGCTCCCAAAGGCCCTTCCGCCTCTTGCTTTAAATACAACACAAACAATGAACCATGGAACACTACATCAAAAACTAATGATGTACTCTAGGGTGACTAACATAACATAATAAAATAAAATAAAACTTAAAAAGAAAGAAAGAATAAATAACAACGCAAAGCAAATCAAAGGCAAAAACAAAGCCGATTTTAGAAATAGGCACCGATACAACCACATTTACTTCTGCAAACATTTTGAGACTTGTGAATGGGTTTCCTACGTGTCTCTGTGATTTTTAAAACTTTAGCCCAATTTTAGGGCTGAAACTCCCTGAGCTTTGAAAAGGTAGATCTCTGTTTGCCGTCTCACCGAGAAGTGTTTGCTGGCACGCAGATTTGCTGATAGGAGAATCCGGGCAAGATCTAATTTCTGTTTTCTGGCAACGAGGAGTCAACAAAGAAAACAGGCTTTGGCTCCGTGTACTCCCGCGTCCTGGGTGCCGTGGGAGCTCCGGCAGAGGCAGGGACCCGGGCACAGATGTGGAGATTCTGCCCCACGGAAAGTGGGTGACAGCCTCCGGAGCTGTGCCGCGGGTCCACATCTTGTGCCATGTGCTGATTGCACAGAGCAGTGATTCCTGTTTTTCAGGTTGTCCGTCCTGTTGTACCCCTGGGACAGCGTGTATCCACTAGAGCATTTACCTTTTAATCTGCTCCCCATCAAACCATACATAATCGTATTCAGATAGTTAGGGAGTGTCTGCGGAGGACTTGAGACCAATCTGAGCCAGGGCTGCTGAGGGGAGTTATGTGAGAAGGCCCGACCAGGGGCGTGGGGGGCGTGGGGGCACTGAGGTCCTGGCCCAGGGTGGCGGCCGCTAGAGGAAAGGCTGCCCTTTTCGATTTGGCCAAAGAAGGTGCTTGCTCCCCAGTCTCTGGACCCGGAGGGCTGTGTCTATACAGAAAGGGTGCATGTTTCTGATTCACTCAGCAGCGCTGTGTGCTAGAGACAGCCCCGGCTGAAAGGCCCACTTTCTAGGACCTCAAGCCCAGGCCTCTTCAGCTCAGCTGCACTTGGGAAACTACCACTTGTCTGATGACCGTTGGGTGAAAAGCCTGCAGTCTCACAAAGCTTTGACTTTCACCCTCTTACTGCGCTGGGTGCTTATAACACAGAGCATGCTCCCACGCTAGTACTCGGGGAGTTGTTCTGGGTACAGATCCTGAGGCCCACTTTCCAGATGAGGAAATGGACAGCAGGGAAGGGAGGTTGGAGCCTGTGATCACTCAGCTTAGAATGTCTGTGTGTGAGCTAGGAGCACAGCCTTTTGAAGAGGACGGAGAAAAACAATACCAGGGTTGTTTGCTCCCTTGGCCATGCTTTCAGGCATATTAAATATAAAATGATACAATAATGTGAAGAGAAAACTACGATTTTTATAAAATCTGAACTTTTGCTCCTCTCTCATCTTCCTGCTGAGTGATATGTGAAGGCATATTTCCCCTTCTCTCCTCAGAGCTGTATTGAATACAGGTTGTGTAATTCAATGAGCTCAGCCCCACTTTCGAAAAAATACCATGTGCCAGAGGCTTTCTGCCTTCATGAAGCTCACAAAAGGAAAGAGGGTTCTAGTCAGGTGTCTTTTTCCTCTTCCTTCAAAGCAGAAAGAATCTTGAGCACAAATTTCTTCTTGAGGAAACACTGACACGAGACAGAGTGATATTCTTGGATATGTGAGGTGCTTTCTTCAGAGCCCTGATTATAGATTATTTGACAAGAAATTTTAGCTTTAGTGCAGCCTCATCATTACTGGGCACATAGCACTTTTTGGCGCTTATTCAGCTGAGGAGAAGCCACGGAATGAGTCACTACGATTTAATAATATATACCTGTGAGTTTTAATTGAAGTACAAATGCTGAATTATTTCACGTAAGACAGCCACAGGGAACAGCTCCCTCACTGACGTCAAGGAAGGAGGTAATGGGGGCCACCTCACCAATTCCTTATGCCAAATAATGAAACACTCCAAGGTGACTGACAGTGGTATGGCTGAGAAGTGGGGAAAAGTTGAACTGTTCCCACATCCAGAACTCCTCAGGGAAACAGGAATCATTTGGCAAAAACTCCAAACCACAAGTTAAATTCGGGCCCTTGGTCACGATCCCTCTCCTCCTCCTGCCAAGAAGCCTGCGATGTGAAGTGACCTCCCCACCTAGTCCCACAGCCCACCCGCAAATCCCCTACTCCCGGATAATTTGATGTTTCCAACATGAGACATAGAGCTGTTTTGTTTGGGACCTGGTCGATTTCTTCAGACACATTGAGACACGTAACCTCAACCACTCTTTGAGCTCACTGCTGGGCTGGAGCTGCAGACTCATGCTGTCGGACCTTCCCCCTTACCTCCTATCCCCGGGAAAATCACCATGTTCTCTGTACCCCCTGCTGACCTCTGAGACCAAACAACACCAAGTCTGGAACAATCTGATCATCGAGCTTGGCTTGCTCTTCAATGGGTGGGCATCCGCCATGTAAAAAATTGGCATGACGAGTCACCTCTGCCTGCAAAAACCTGGTTAAGGGCTCACAAGAAAAATAACCAAACAGGATGTTCCTGCCCTCTCTTTCCCTGCCACACATTGTTAGGAGGAAAATCTGAATGCTCCTTTCATTCGATATACAACACACCTTTTCTAGCCACTTGATATGATGTACCTGAGAGGGGACGAAAGGTGACAAGGGCAGAGTTTGAGAGCCTTTCCACTTTATGGGTCCTCCTCAGTCATCTGTTCTGGAAGGGCCACCCACCTGCTTTCTTCATGCCAGTCTCCACTTCAGCAGTGAATTGGGTGTCATCCATCTATCTGGGAACTCTTGCCCTTGGCCCCTCTTGTCAGATTTAGGGGCTTTCCCTTCCTGATGGCAGTGTGATGGCAGAGGCTTTGGAATCCCTAGCCAGCTTGTAGCTAAACCCTGCCTTCTTCTCCCACATTGACGTGTCTACCGCTGAATTACTAGCTGATGGTAGGCGGGGATAGAAATGAGAACCAGGGAAGAGGCATTACCTGCTATGTCTCATCTTTTTCCACTTGTAAATCATACATCCCATTGTTTCAAAGGGTTGTAATCATGGTTGGCATTTATAAAGCCTTTTTATGGTCTCGAAGCACTTAGCAATCATATGTAACTACACAATTATCTTGAGAGACACATCAGAGCAACCTTCTTTTTGTGAACAGGGCAAATGAACAGTCGCTGCGGAGGGTTATGGCGAAGCTCTAGTCACTCATGAATTCATTAATCAGACAGTTTTTGAGTGGCTACTCCACAGTGGGTTTAAGGGGGTATTCAAAAACGACTAAGATTCCAGCCCTTTGAGGAATTCAAAGTAAAGTAGAAAAAGAAATACATACGAACAAATGAAACAATACAAAATGAGGTGAGTGAGTGCTGTGATAAAGGGTTATAATAGAAGCAGGGACCGAAAGAAGGCCATGTGAAGGGAGAGACAAGGGAGTGCTTGCAGAGAGGGAAAGCCTCACAGAAAAGGCGATATTTCGGCTGGGTCTTGAGTGCGCGCTCGGCCACCGGTAAGCAGAAGTGAGTCATGTGACCTCTCATTCCCCCACAGTGGCCTCCACCGAAAAGTATGGGATTTGACCTGGGTGATTTCTGGGGTTCTGAAACGTTAGGCTGTCAGAGAGGAGTTCATATAAAAGTTGGTGTTCCGGAGGGGGGCGGAATGAGATCTTTACTGCGGATCGGCCTGGGAAAGCACTTTAATGAATGCTGTGAAAATCCAAATAAATACCAGTTTAAGTTTTATTTTATTTCCTTATGAGGAGGTATATTTAAGTGGGTGGGGCGAAGCTGCCAAGGACCATGATTCTTACTGAAAAGCAGAGGAGCCGTGAGTGTCAGGGGAAGCAGAAGTGAACTGCATCCTTCGGGGGGCTCTTCCGGTGGCCTAGCCCTCTGCCTGCAAGTCCCAGAAACTTCCTAACTCGCATGCCCTGGAGGCAGTCCACGCTCTCAAATTCTTCACCTTCCATCTCAGAAATGGGAATAATGAGCATATCCCAGTCCACCTTAGGATAGTCAGGTGCGTTGTCTGAAAAGCCTAAAGCATTTGGTAAAATCAGTCAAGCTTTTAGCAAAACCGGAAATTTATGCAATATTTTTAGTGAGGACATCTCTTCCAATGTCGGACAGGGAACAGGGTTTCAGAGGCTTTGGGAATCCTTGGAAGCAAGCAATCTCCCAACAGGAGTTAATGAGGCCCATTTGCCTCATTTCAAACCAAAGGGCTGATAGGACATCATGTTGTAAGTCTCCAGTCACACTTACTCTGTTTGGTCCATGTACCTGTTTTTGGTTTGTTCAACTTTTAAAATGTCTTTGAAAGTCTTAGGCAATTACATTGCTCAGATTCAGAATAAATTATAGAGCCCCGAGTCTTAGAAGCCAACTTCAAGGCTTCCGGTCACCAGAGTAAGATCCTGGGCTCTCGTGATCCTCCAACGTTCAGCAACGTTTACTGAACAGATATCAGTATTTCTACTCGATTTGAAGTTCAGAGTTTCAAGACCTGTTATTCTCACAAGATAATACGAATTAGAAGTACACTGCTTTGCAGTGAATATTGGTAAGTGAATGAGGCCTGTTTAGCTTTTTTTCCCCTCAGTGTCCAAAATAAAGTTATAACAACGTTTTTTAGCAAATTGGGTTCTGAGTAGTCATGATTTGAAATGTGTCCTGCTTTTAGCTACTTAGTACAAGTGAAGGACAGGCTTGAAGGCATTGTTGGCCCTCCCTTGACTGGGCAGGGTCAAGATTCCCAGAAGAATGTCCACTTTCCTTCATTGTTTATAGCATGGTGGTAACTAAGTGTTTGGCCACCTTCCAGTAGACAAGGTCGTGATTCACATACAGGGAAAAAGAAGCCCGGAGTAGATGAATACTTGCCTTAAGTCAAAGTCACAGTAGATGTGAGTTTCTTGAGTGGAAACTAAGTGGTTGGACTCTCTCAGGACACTCTGCAGTCCTGACCATTTATTTTAGGAATCGCTAGGAGGCAAGAGGAACTCATATGGACCTACGTGACCCCAGGACTCACCACCCTTCACATCCCAGTGGAAATCTAGAAGGAAGCTACTGTCTTCAGCAAGATGGTTGCTACCCTGACTCTGAGTGTGCCAGGTATGATTATGGCTCTGTTCAAACATGCTCTGGTTCCTTCCAGGGAGCACTTTGAGCCTCCTCTGAACTTCCAGGCCGCAGGGCTGAGCACAAGGTACAGATTTTTCTTGCAGACATTTGGCATCTGTGTAATGATTTTTGTCTCTAAGGGTAATAAAAGTACATCAGATGTTGCTCCCTGTACCATGAACTTGGCTTTGAAGCGCCAGTGAGCCACTTCAAAGGCTCGACACCATATGGAGCTTCTGTTTCTGGGGACTCCACTCTGTCGAGGTGTGCCCGTCGACCTGGGACACAGTGCCTACCAAGGCACCTACCACTAAAGACCCGTTGTCAAATATGTCAAAGGTGACAAATTGGCATACTGAAAGCTTCAAACCACGCAGCCTTCAGAATCAGCATAGAATATACATCATGCTTTGAATGCTGTGGGGGAAAAAATGCATCATTTACATGGAGAATGATTTACAAATTAAATGAAAAGAGATCGGAGTGGCCTTCAGAGCTCAGCATAGGGTGCTTTTGGTCATTGTTTGTCTGAAGTCCACACTGACCTGTTCAGAGCTGTTTAGACTAGAAAGATGAAGCCAGTGGTGGAAGCTTAAGGGAGAATCACAGACAAAATTAAGTTCTTTATTTATAATTCAGCAAATCAAGGCCACTGCAAACAGCAGACTCCAAGTTGGAAGGGGTTTGGAGAGCATCAGGTCCAACATCCCTTATATAATTTAGAGTTGGGGACACGGAGGCCCAGAGAAGAAATTTATTTACCCAACTTTCTACACAAGTTACTGGTAGAATCTGGACTTAAACCCGGGTCACCCGACTCCTGGTCCAGAGCTCCATCATGGAGTCAGGGTAGAGCAGCAAGGAAAAGTGCAGGCTTTGTGCCACCCAGACATGGAATATTTGCAGCCTTTTCCCAGCTCTCTGATTACGGACACGTTTCTTTTCCCCTCATATTCAATGTCTTTGTCTGTAAAAGAGCAAGTAATACTTATCTGTGCGTTATCCGAAGATTTAATTGAGCCAGTAGGAGGAAAATGTCAAACACCTCCCAGGCAATCATTAAAAAGCAATTGTTATTTTTACTACATGAGGACACGTAAAAAGAAGAAAAACAAACAGGACTATGATTTCTCCAGCAATGCTTTTTCAGCTCTCATGATTTTTTTTTTTTTTAATGCATTCTCCCATGGAGCATCTTGGAATCTTCAAAGTTAATTTTCATACAGTTAGACTTAAAAATGATCTCTGGCCACAAACAACACACTTCATGCTGGGGCAGGGGCACAGGAGAAGGGAAACTTGTTCTATAAAATTGAAAAGGTGTTTTGTTTCCAAATTGGTTGCCAAGCACCAGCCTAGAAGGAGATCCTGGCCTTCCTGCAGCCACCTCGTCGGGCCCTTCTGACTTCCTCGCCTCTCTGCACTGGGACATTTCAGTGGCTTTTCTGAGCCAACACTTTGGAAAGCACATTTTTTCCCCCTATTCCTTTTCCTAAACATTCTCTCACTTTCTTTCCCATGGTGTAGAAAGCACAGAATCAAAGCTTAGCAGCAGATGGCACTATCAGCATACTTTGCAGTAAGGGGTGAAAAGAGATGCATTCGTTCATTCATTCGTTCATTCATTCATTTTGACAAGTTTCGACTTAACGTCGAATGTGTGTTCAACCTTGAGAGGGTCACTAAACAGAAGAGGTGGTACTTACAGGGCAGGTGGGAAGAGGTATGCTCTGGGAGGATCCTCAGGGGACCTGTGTGAACGCCGAGGATGTATGTTCTGGTGGTTTTGGGAGACAGCAAGATTGGGGCAGGCTTAAACAGCAAGGGAGGAATTTTTGAGGGAGTTGGTCTAGAGCTGTTCCTTTAAAGGATGAGTAGAATATGGAATGGCGAAAATGCAAAGCAGGAACGTAAAATGGACTGTAAAAGCAAGGAGTCATCCGCTGCTGTGGCCATCAACACTATATCCCTGGCAGGTCTGACCTCCTTCGCTTTGCATGAGCCTCGTGTCGCACGTGGGTGGCCACTCTCACAACCATGATCTCATTGGGCCCTTACTGCTATCCTCTGACTTCAGCTTTACCCCTATGATGATCCGAATTTGATGAATAAGAAAATTGAGGCCCTCAGAGGAAAAGTGACTTGCTTAGGGTCACACATGCAGTGTGTGGTAGTGCTGGGATCCAAACCTTGATCTCATCCCAGCTCATGCAGCAGGAGACCAAGGCTCTTGTGACCCAGGCCGTTACAGCGAAGAGAGCTTGGGATGCAGAGTAATAGGATCAGTTTCAGCTGTCAGGCTGGCTTCAGGTTACCGAGGGCCTGAGCTAGACTAGACTGCGGTCTTGGGGCTGATCCTGTAAATCTCAGGGAGGATTCTGAGGTTTGGGGAAGCTAGAGATGGGTGTTAGATGCTGCAGCTGCATACGAGGGATTGAACGAAAAGGGACAGGAATCGGGGAGACCCAAGAAGAAGATGTTACAGAAATTAAGGCCAGGGGTGGGGAGTAGATGGGAGTGCTCTGCTCCAGCGGGGAGGAGATTTTATGATTGTCATTAATTCCTGGCATGTAGAAAGGAAACAAAGCCGACTGACTTTTAAAATGACTGGTTTTAAGTTTCCTATAGACGGGGCGCCTGGGTGGCTCATTCAGTTAAGTGTCTGCCTTTGGCTCTGGTCCGAATCCCAGGGTCCTGGGATTAACCTGGGTCGGGCTCTCTGCTCAGCGGGGAGCCTGCTTCGCCCTCTCTCTCCCACTCGTGTTCTCGCACACACTTCTCTCTCTCTCTCAAATAAATAAAATCTTTAAATAAATAAATAAATTCCCTATAGACAACACGTCCCCTTATTGCCTGCACCCGGAGAGGTCTAATCTCATTACCCTCCACCACACCCACACCCACAATCCTCCATGATACACACACACACACACACACACACACACACACACACACACACCTTAGTCCATTACTGCCAAGGCACAACATGAGGACAGCCTGAATCCGGCAGGCAGCAGTGGGACAAAAGGGTAAAAGATTAAGGAGAGACATGTTGAAGAAAAAGAAATAAGGACTTGGTGGCTGACAGTCACCAAGGAAAGAAGATTAAAATCATGAGTCTGAGATTTTGAGCCTAGGAAAACAATGTCAGTGATTCAAATAGAGAAAAAAGGGGGTTAAAATAAACCGGTTCCATAGAGAAGATGACCTGATGGGACATGAGGACTCCCAGTCGCTGCTGAACACTCAGCTGGAATACAGACTTATTTCCTACTCTGGTTATGGATTTCTTGCTCTTCACTTGTGATTAAAAACTTATAAACGATGGTTGGCTTTTTGTTTTTTTTTTTTATAGCTCTTTTACAAGTAAGAAAATGAGAGAGAGAGAGAACTACCAAATTATTAGTGTTACCACTCCTTATTTAAACCCCTTCCGCTGACATCAAAACAACTGCGGAGTGAAGGCACTGGACTCAGTCTTTAAGGACATTACAGGCAGTGGTATTTTCCACCAGTCAATGCTAGGGAAGAAGCAGAATCCAAAGTTCTTATTAAACTGTGCTTGAAAGCTAGAAAACATTAACAGGCAAAGAGAAGCACTGTGCAAGTTACAATTGAGGAAAAAAATACAATACATACAAGAGACCTGAGGATTCCATAGGTGAGGAAATACAAAGAGAGCAGATGATTGAGCTGAGCTGACACAGACAGTTCATTACGGGGCCAGCGTTGAGCCTCAGCCCAGGGATAAATTGTTCCAGCAGCCTGGAAAATGACACCAAGGGCGGGCCAATCCCCATCAGATTACAAAGCCCTGCACTGATACAATTTGTGATTAGAACACCGCTTGCAAATCTTTCCTCCAGATGGCCCCCAGAGTGGGTGGATTCTCAAATTAGTCATATGAGAACGGAGGGTTTAACAGAAGGGAGATTCTAGGAGGTTCTAGGCCGTTCCATCGGGAAATGAATGCATCAGCCCTTCAGAAATGGGAAGTAATTCAGGACATTTTTGTGCCTTTTGCCACGCTATCTCTGGTGGGAGAAACAAGTCAGCCACCATCTCGGAGAGGGTACTTGGAAGGAGGGTGGAAGGCCCTGGATTAGTCCCTTTAAAGGAGACACTTAAGGTGCTGGAGACATTTAAGGTGCTGCAGCCACCACACCCTGCGTGTGGGGGACCGGACCGGTTATTCAGCTCTCCTGCGCAGCTGCTGGGTGGCTACAAACCTGAGCCCAGGAAGGTCAGCCAGTTATTCTGCAGTAACCAAATCCACGGTGTTGCGGTGCTTATCAGCATGATCCGCCTCTGCAGTTGTGGTTGAATACGTTTTTGCTGTTGTCATCTTGTTTGGTAACAGAGCAATAGCAAGTGTTGCAAGTGTAATTGTTACTTTTGAAATGAGCTCTTGGCAGTTCCTGGTGGTATACCTCTGTGTGTGTGTGTGCGCGCGCGTGTGCGTGCATGTGTGTGTGTGCGTGTGTGTGCGCGCGCGTGTGCTGGTGTATGTGTGTGTTTACCATCCTTCTGAGTCTTCTCAGAGCAGCTCTAGGAACTTGGATCCCACCGCAAGGAAGTAAGCATGGATTGGATTTAGATCCAACTAATAGATAACAACCCCCCTCGTTCCTGCCAGACCTTGTGTTGAATGCTTTGTTGTGCTCTCAAACCTCTCAGGCTTAGTCCCATTGGTTCCGTTTTACAGATAGGGAAATTGATGTTCCACGACATTAAATAATCTAGTCAAAACCATAGTGAAAGCAGCTTGCCAAGCCATGGTTTAAGGATTTGAGGATTTGTTCCCTAGACATAGAAACATATTTGAATAAACTCTTGGGAAGAATACCACTGTATAAAATAGGAAAAATCAGCTGCTTGGGTTGAAGCAGGAGTCTGGACTTTGGAGCCCTGTCCACTCGCCCCCTTCATCTGCCTCTGTCATCTCCCTAGAACATTCCAAATAGCCTGCTGGGTGGACCCCAGATTGCCCCCAGCTGGAAGTGCTACGAATCTATGATTCTGAGAAGTTCCTACGTATATCAGATGCAGACTATCAACGCCTTTCCCTGGACGTGTTCTGGAACCAGTGAGACATGGCGGATACAGGATCCTGAATTTCTTCATAAGTTTACAAAATCATAGAACATTAAAGGTGGAAAAGAACTGAGAAATCCAGTCTAGACCCCACATACCTAATAAAATGATAATAATTTTTATTTTTATTGACTAATAGAAGTCCAGAAAGAAGGAATGATTTGCACAGGGAAGTCAGTTGATCAATTATCCTCTTGTCTTTTAGAGAGGTGATATTTACAAGGTATAACAACTAGTGTCCTTTAACCAATCGGAGCAAATAAAATGTTGGGGCAGGATCTGAGGGAAATTCTTGATGGCAGGCTTTACCCCATCAGTTGCTGGATTATGAGGCTGCCCCAGGGGTTCTAGAAAAGGAATTGAGGTGCTTAGGGTGTCAGGGTTTGGGGTGGTCCAGGGGCTGGGCTGGGGGAAATGTCTATTTATAAATAGCAGAAGCATTTAGTAGCTAGTCTATCCACTGTGGTGCATCAGAGTGGAATAACAGTCCTCACCTTTAAGCATGAATTCAGCAGAATACCCACAATTGCAGGATTTCCTTGGAATTGCTGAAACTCTATTAAGGTCACTGGGGCTTTGTCCCACTGCTGATGCCGCTTCCTTTCCAGGAGAGGAAAGAAGAGGCAGAGAGGAACCGAACTTCTGCCAGCCCAGTGTCACATCAAAGAATTCCACCCAGATCCCCACAGGTGCAGAAACCTGAGAGCCATCACCAGGCAGATAGTGCTGTCTCTGGTAATTGGGTTGACATCATCTAGCAGCCTTAGAGGATTTGAATCCCTTCCATGACTCCTGCTACCTCCCACCTGGTGGTGAAAACCTCATGCTGGAAGCTGGGTGATATGCAAAAGCAAATGCAAGGAAACTACAAGGTCACACTCCTCAAGGGAGAGTCCTCTTGTGTTCTGGCCCAGATACATAAGGGGAAAAGAGAACCAAGGCCCCAGCTGCCTACAAGTGGGTGCAAAGAGGAAGCCAAAGATGGTCATAGAAATATATACTCATGGGGGGATGCCTGGGTGGCTCAGTCGTTAAGCATCTGCCTTCGGCTCAGGTCATGATCCCAGGGTCCTGGGATCGAGCCCTGCATCGGGCTCCCTGCTCAGCTGGAAACCTGCTTCTCCCTCTCCTGCCCCCCCCCCGCTTGTGTTCCCTCTCTCTCTCTCTCTCTCTCTGTGTCAAATAAATAAATAAAGTTAAAAAAAAAAAAAGAAATATATACTCATGGGATTAGAAAGCTTCTTAATAGTCAGTCCACCCCACGACCAAGGCTTGAATCTTCAGAATGAATCATCCCCAACCCCAACCAGACTGAAAGATGCTCTGTTCCTGAATGAGCCTTAGTCTCCCTCACTTCCCAGATCTTTCTACATATAATTTCCTCAGCCTACAATACCCTTCCTCTTCCCCAGCTGCTTCTTGGGCCCATCTCCTTCTTGTCCTCCAAGCCTCATTTCAGAAAATATTTAGGTAAGGGACTACAGTACATGTCCTTAGAAATGTTTCTGTAGCCACTAGGACTTCACCTGTGAAACATTCACTACACTGCTTTCGTGTCTGTCTCCCTCCCTGGACTGGGAGTTGCATTAAGACAGGGACTGACTCTATTATGGTGATCCAGCAGGGCCTCCAACTGGACATAACACAGCAAAGGCATTAAAAAATGTGAATGAATGAATGAATGCCTACATCTTGAGCGTGATAAAGTATTTGTATTCAGAATCTCATATTATCATTGCATCATGCTTGTGAAGAAAAAAAGACTTGTTAGGTTTATAAGAAGTAATATGTTGGGGCGCCTGAGTGGCTCAGTCGTTAAGTGTCTGCCTTCGGCTCGGGTCATGATCTCAGGGTCCTGGGATCGAGCCCCACATCGGGCTCCCTGCTCAGCGGGAAGCCTGCTTCTCCCTCTCCCACTCCCCCTGCTTGTGTTCCCTCTCTCGCTGTGTCTCTCTCTGTCAAATAAATAAAATCTTAAAAAAAAAAAAGAAGTAATATGTTAATGCCCATTTTATGGATGAGGAAAAAAGCCTCTGAAAGAAAGGAAAAACACCCCAAACATGCTATATATTTGGGACATACATGGGCCATTCATTGTGTCAGGTACTCTCAAAACGTTGATCATCTTTATCCTTGTGACTGATCTGAGAAAAGGTATTTTCATCACTCTTTTACAATTTATATTGTAAATGTACACACCCTTTTCCAGGTACAGTTTTATGGGATTTGACAACCGCATCAGGCCCTGTGGCTCTCACTGCAATTGCAACACAGAAGGGGTCCAGCACCCTCCACAGGCTACCCTTTGTAGCCATGCCCCCCTCCCCCCAGCGCCCTGCCTAGCACGGGGTGTTTAATCACATTAGTTTGCATAATCACATTTTTTAACAAATACAAAACCGAAGCTCAGAGAATTTAAGCAACTCACTCAAGGTAAGCAGCCAGTGGGTCATTGGATTTTGCCTTTGAGCCTGGACTTCTGATTCCCTGTGAGGGTGGAAAGTGAGAGTGTGGAGCCAAGGAAAACTGTCTCATTCCCTGGGCCACCTCCCACCTCTGCAGACAGGGCCCTGTCCTTTGTCCATGTTCCATGGAGATAAGGCAAACACAGCTTCATTACCCAAGACAGAATCTGATAAAGCTCCACCTCTGATCATTCACGAGGTGCTGAGGGAAGACTGTGTTCCTACCCAATAGAATGATCTGAAAACCATTATGATGGGCAGGCCGCTTTGCAGACTGTGCTGTAAGAGATTGGTCTGTTTCCAGTTCCCTCACTCAGCTCCAAGACAGGAGGGCTCTGAGGGGAGGTCACTGTTGAACATAGAGAAATCATTTCATCTTCATCCTGCTTTTAATCAGGGTAGCAGGATATTGGTGCCACTTTTGTCGAAAGGTAATCTCTTCTCTAAATAATAATAAAACAAGTACTCGTTTGGGGCTGAAGGCAGGTAAGTGAGCGCTGATCTGCCCGGACACATACAGGAAATAGCTGTAGGCCTCCTGCATCCCACCCAGGCCCCGCCGCAGGCAGGCAGTCTGACACCCTGCCCCTGCCTTCTCCACCCTCCCCCCCCAACCACCCGCTCCGAGGACACGTCAGGAAATAATTTGCCATTGACGAGGGCACATGCCCTCCTTCAGGCTGTGTCCTGTGCTGCACCACGCCCCCCAGCTCTGCCACCCGATGCAGCTGGATCTGTTCTTGAGGGCTTTGCAGGTCCGTAACCCTGACACTTGAGGTGCAGAAGTCTCCAGAGACCCCAGACTTTGCACCCTGCATTCTCTGCTGAGGGGCTGCAGCAGAGGCAATGGGCCAGACGCAAGGCTCTCACCCAAAACCAGGAGAGCAAGTAATGAAAGAAAGTTCACAGGCTGTGAAAACCCCATTTTCTGGCCCAGTTACTAAGGAGCTGGGAGATCTTGGGAGATTGGTTCACCTTCCATATGAACATCATCTTTCTCCTCTGGGCAAGTGACTATGCAAGACTGATCTCACGGGGTTATAGAGGGGATGATACCTGTCAAGTGGCATATGGAACACACCAGGTAGGCTAGGAATAATTATAGGCATTCCCATCATTGTCATCACGGTTCCTCCACAGAGTTCGGTTTAAACAACAGTGTTTGGGTATGTTTGTAAATTAAAGACCTGAGATGTTCCCTGCCGTTTGCTGCCAATCCACAATATGATACACTATGAAGAATGCCCCAGCTAATGTCTTTATTCCTAGATGGAACTTCTGCCCTGTGAGCCTATTGATTTTCACCTTAAACTCAGTTCTACACCAAGTAGTAGATAAGAAGTTTTCTCTCTCTCTGAGCCCAGAGCCCAGGACTAAGCCAATGTTGTGGGCTAGGGCCCTTTTCTTCCACATCCTACTCTGGTTCCTCTGTCTTCCCCCCCAGAATCAAAGTTCCTTCCTAAATAGAAGGAAACTTCTAACCAAAATAAATACATGGTAAAAAAATAAAAAAAGAGAGAAGAAAGAAAGAAATCTGAAGAGATCACAGACCAGCAATGAAAAGATGAGAACCCAGAACACTTTTCTTTTCCTACCTCAGCCACTTTCCTAGTCTGGAGATGTATGTACTGAAGGTGGGTGCCATTCCTCTGACCACGGGTGGACATTGTTCCATCTCTTGCAAACTCTGCCTATTTCAGGTTGAGTTCCCTTGTCAGGATGTCTGGACATCAGAGGACAGGGTGTGAACCCCACAGAATATGGGTGTTCAAATCATGAGATGTGAGGTCATTTGAAAGCAGAAAACTACCTTTTATGCTACAGCTAACTATTAGTACATGGCTGCTTAATGTCATGATCCATTCATTGGCTATTTTCTGGATCAAAATGGTAGCCAATCCACTTGGTTCACTGTCTTTTGAGCCACATCCCCACCCCCAGCCCAGCCTTTCCCTTCTTAGACTGTGAAATTTGGGGCCAGATGGAAGGGGATATGGATCAGGTAAATAATTCATAAAACAGTCCCTTAATTCATAGGAATCCTGGCAGCATGTCTAAAGTTAAAGGTTAATTTAGCTAGGGTCTTTGCCCATTAAATGTACATGAATTTTCCATCACACCAATACTTGGAATTTAAAGCTCAGCTTTCATCTCAGGGCTTTGAGCTAGTGCTGACATTGGCTTTGAATTCTCTTACCTTCTTTGGGGGGGAAAAACTGAGGGTCAATAGAAATTTTAAGATGTAGCCAGTATCACATTGTAAATGATCAGACTACTTAATCTTTCCATTCTTAAACCACTCTTCCGGGCACCTTACAGTCTTAGTTCCTGTAACTCATTAGTGGAGGATTATAATTATCCTTTTCTTATGCTATGAACAACGATGCTAAAAATATGTAAAGTAAAAATCCTTAAAACCAACAGTAGTTATTTTTAAATGGTGGGATTATAAGTAAACTTTTTTTTTTCTTTTCATGTTTTCCAATTTTTAACACAAAAGTCCTTATTAATTTTATCCTAAAGAGATAATATTTAAACTTCATATCTCATAAGGCTGTACACAGTGGAATATAAGTCTTCTAAATAGTCAAAAGGTATAATGAGCAAGAGTGTTACTGCTTTCAGTTATTACTCCTTTTCTCTACCATTCTATAAATTCTTAGGCCTTGAGGTACTCTTTGCCTAGGGAGAAGTCCCAAGCAAGGAATCTAAGGGATTCAGTGAAGCATCCTATACTCTTCTAGCCCTTTAAAGACAAAGTCATGTAACCTGTGTGTCCTTGTACCAGTGCAGAATGTAGCCGGTAGCTCAGTCATAGATTCACCTCACCCTGTTCCATGTTCTTGAGGTTCAGGCCTGGCGGAATGAAGAGAGCTGATGGGTGAGGACACCCAGGGTGGGAAATAGAACACTGAGTCATTCCATTCTCACCACACGTTAACTGTGAGGCTTCAGCCCACCCAAGAGCCTTAGGCGAAGTCTGTTGGCCACTGTTTCCCCATCTGTGGGCCCCAATGCTGACCAATCGTCCCCTCTGGCACCTTATAAGGGAAAGCTAATTAGAAAGCTCACCTCACAAGAATGCTGCAGAAAGACCTTTCACACGGAGTAGAACCACAGTGCCCAGAGGCACTGTGACTCAGTGGTAAAGCTGATTTCCAACAGCCAGGTCTCATCTCTCCAGCCAAAAAAAAGGGGAGACCTGCAAGGCAAAGGCCAGGCAAATTCCCACGGGACGAGCCACAAAGACGGTGCATGGGAGTGGCAGGTCCTCAAAGTACTCTAGAAAGTACTAGTTACACGTATAGTGACAGGAAGAGAAAGGAGGAGATCAATCAACTTATTTATGCATTTGTTTATTTTATTAGTGTATATTGTCTGCCTCTAATGTATCAAGGGCTATGTTATTTGCTATGGGGAAAACAAAGATGAATCAGATAGCCCTAGCCCTCCGGTCTAGTTAGAGGGAAAGATAGATATTAAATATTACATGCCTTATAATTTCTAGAAATGAAAATATATACAAAAGCCTGGGAATTACAAAATCAGGAGTAGCTTTAGGCTGAGAGGGAAATCGAAAGCTTCACATGGGAGTTAAATCCCAACTGGGTCTTGAAGAATGTCTAGGAGATCACCACACAGTGGAAAGCATGCCAGAGAAACAAATGTGCCTCAGTAAATAGGAACAACTAAGACCGAGTAAATGATCCAGTTTTTGAAAATTAATATCATTTCCCAAATATTCTATAGCTCTCCACAGCCATGTCATTCTCTAAAATTGTCTTGGAAGTTTCTCTGTACCTAAAACCCACAGGAAGATTGGTCTCCCAAACTAGTCCAGTGAATTGAGAGAGAGAAAGTGACAAAAAAATAGGAGTTGGGCAATATGAGGCACCCTCAAAAACAAAACAAAACAAAACAACCCAAAACAAACAAACAAACAAAACCCAAGATCTTTCACTCAAGGCTCCAGGACGCTCTATCTTCAAGGCTGTGTCAGAAGCCTAGCCTAAGCTGGCTTTGGGTGATTCTTCCACTCCATCTGCCAACTCAATTATTTGATACAGTTTTGCACTAAGCTGGCTGGGAACAACTTAACAACCATCTGTGTGTTTGTGTGTTTTTAATGTTGTTATTCCTTGTGTTTTATCTTTTGCTTTGTTTTTGTTTTTCTTATTTCCCAACTTACCCTGGCCTTGGGTATGTAAGAAGGTGTCAACTTTCTTGTTTGGCACCTTTGGGAGACAGTTATTATGCCTGTCACTACCTTGTCTGTATTTGCTTCCACTCCATTTCTCCCCCTCTCCTGACAATAACTATCACGAGAAAAGCCGTGGTACCTTCTACTCATTCTCCATGCTTCCTTCTCCTTTTTTTCAGCTTAAAGAGATAAAAAAAAAAATAAGGGGCAGGAATAACTGCTGAGATGAAAAGGAGCCGGATAACCTGGGAGACCAAAATGCCCTCCCTTTTCACAGAGGTAGATACGAGTAGAGAGGTAGA